TAACACAAATATAATTCCAAGTACTGAGACAATTTTGATAACAAATGACTAGATTACATGAAAACCGTATCACATACGAGAAACATTGATAATATAGAATTTAAAAACCTCATCGAATCTCAGTACTGAAAACATTATCGAAAAACTATCTTATTGCAAAGCACAGTTTGACAAAAGAGTTTTACGCGGTGACAGGAACTAATATTGACTTGACTGAATCAATATGGAGGGATATCTCTTCGTCCAGTTTCTATAACCTATCTATCTGTAGACACATTTTGTATGGAGCTCATGTCAAAATTCTATCTCTAGTAAGCAAATCTACAGATAGATAGGTTATAGAAACTGGACGTAAGTGATATCCCTCCATATGGAGATATCCCTTGAAAAAAAATCATTCGAACATAGTACCTCCTCTTTTTAAACTCTATAAAAATAACAAAATATCAAAACCACTTAAGTCGTAGTGTACTTAGTTGCCACACGTACGACACTAGCGACCTCAATTGACTCCGAACTCATTTTTGCCAAACTGTATGCAAGTATGTGGTACTTTATATGTTACATACTTTTTTAAAGATAACAATATTGCAGAAGTATAATTCCCTTATAAAACAATTACATTATTAATTCCATGAATTACATCGCCAGTTATGTTATGAGTTCCACTGTTGTAGGGGGTAATTTTTTAACAATAACATAGACGCTATGCTATAGTCAGCACCATTACTGAGTGTTTCTAAATCAAAAAACTCAATAACGGCATCAAACTTTAGACTTATTGCACGAGTTATATATAAAAATGATACCCGTTTCCCGTTGCCACGCCATAACTTGAGAACGGCTAGATCGATTTGGCTGATTTTTTTGTTGTGTTTGTTATTGTCAGGAGAAGGTTCTTATGATAGAAAAAAATCCTGAAAATCTTATGAGAACGGGAGAAAACGGGATTGCGTGCGCAATTGACGTGTAAAAGTGCTGCCTTGTAGCCTATTTGCAGAAATAAATTCACTTGTTTCACTTGTTTGAAGTCGCGGGCAGAAGCTAGTGATTTAATAATGGTTGCTTTGCTAGTTGTTTCAAAGTTCCAACTAATATTTCGATCTTGGTTGTAATGAATTTACAACAAAATAATAGTACCTATAACGAAATCCCACCCCTACACGGAACAATGAATTCATTACGGTCAATAAATAAACCAGAATGGTCACTTTTGTCTTAAAAAGTATACAAAGTAATAATAAAATGTGTTGTAACAGAGTGAGACAAATGATTTAAACATTTAATTAACGACTGAGATAGCAATACATAAGCTAAATTAATATTCAATATAACATCACACCTGATATTCCCTGAAGAGGTAGACAGATAATCATCAAACATATTGCCATTATTTTAGGCAAGATTTCCGACTCCAGTCTTATCATGGACAAAATGAAAACAAAAAGTCAAATATACCTATATGTTTAGTGTTTATTGAATATTCTGATTGTGAGATTTGTTATTTATTACACTGCTACATTGCCTATTTATAAAGGTTTAAATCACTTGCTACTTTCATCTCTGCACTGCTTAAAGGTTGACTGGGAGACAATGCCCAAGGCAATAAGTCTACCTGCACACACTTGTTGTATGAAGTTGAAATAAAAAAAATAAATAAAACACCAATAAAAAGCCGGTAGCCAGAAATCGAACCCCAGACCGTCTTACAAAGCAGTCATACCTACTTAAAGAGCGTATTTATCATTTAGGTACGCCATCAGCAGATTGAGATTACAAATCCTAGATCCAGGTTCACTTAGGTCCTATATTAAAGACCTAAAGAATATTAGAATTATATTTAATATTTTGTCTATAAATATTATGATACAATTTCTACTTAGACTAAGCTAACGAGTGCATTGCTGAAGAATTTGTACTCAAATCTGCTAACAGCGACCATAATATAGACGAAACTAATAACCTCTATTTATCATAAGTCGGTTAAAAAGGTCTCATCTCACATTTACTAGAAAATACCATCAATTTCTTCACAACATACGCTTTAGAAAATTTCATCACATTGAAAGTTAATAAAATTATTTAATTTATTTCTATTAAAATATTGTGCTTCGTATCTATCAGACCCTTTACACATTGGTCCTAATAAGTACACATTAATTTTATAATTTTCAAATATTTTTTTATACACCAAACTCTCACAACATTGACAACTTAAAATTTATAGTAAGCACAAAAAAAACACTATCATCGTTACACTACATACGTAGCATCACCTATACCAATAAAAATTAGTCATCTACATCATTAGTAACAAAATAGGGTAGATGACTCATTTTTATTTTAATGTCCGTCTGGTAGATTATTTGAAAACATTAGACACGTATTTTTTATGTTCTTACGGAAATCCGCATTCCAAATCCTTCGACGATATCTGGATTTAAAATATCGCGTGACGTCACTTTTGTGTAAGTTTTATACTCAAAAGTGACGTAGCTATCTCCCACTCCTAAACTTTGATTCGTTTTATCTAAGTATTATTTTCTTATAGGACAAAATAAAAAAATACGTGTCTAATATTTTCACATTATCTAACTGACGAACTAATTAGATTTTTAATATTTATAACGTGTCATCGTATCTAGTAAAAGTAAAGATTCACGTACATTAATGCGTGTTAAGAACGTCCATTTTAAAATATTATCACGTTCTTTAAGTCTACATTCAAACAATCGCACATTACTACTCGATGGCGTGTTTCTTTGACATGGTGCTACAGAGCCGTATATGTAGTCGTCATATCTCATATCACACAGATAGACGAAAAAATAACGATGTGTGGGTGACACAATGAACTTCTTCACAAGCCCCACATTACATCCAGTCAGCCAGCCACTGTTGTCAACCGTGTAATGCGCAGTCAAAGTTTTAAAGTTCAATATACAGGCTTTTGTTAAGGACAATCATCAAATGACAGCTCCCGCCTGGGTGAGGCGGGAGGGAGTGTCAGACTCTTACTGACTAAAAACCACCCCGTTTCTTCTCCTGCACGTCGAGCCGGAGCCCCGGTAACCCAGGCTTAGTGCGAGTTTGTATTGCAACCGAAACGGTACCACGTTCGGCGTTCTGATTGGCCGGCTTTAATGAACCAACCAATCAGAGAGGGCTAAACCGGTAACGTTTCTTCCTAAGCCTTCTGTCTTCGATAGATTTTTACTAAGTCTCAAAAGCTCTACTAGAGACAAAGTTCCATACAAAATGTGTCAATATTCTAGATTCTTACTCTTTGTCTAGTAAACATAACTACGGAGATTGGTCGTTATAAGATTTCACAGTTTACTAGCGTCATTTTTTCATAACATAACATCATGCCTTTTATCCCCGAAGGAGTAGGCAGAGGTGCACATTACGGCACTTAATGCCACTGTACAATGTAACACTTACTTTTCACTATTCATGTTATGAGTCCCATGTAATAGGGAGTGAGCTTATTGCCATATACCGGGCTCAAATTCAGACTCCGTGGTTTAAAAAAAAACTTTATTTTAAAAAGCCCAGTAATACTATGCCCGACCCAGGAATCAACCCCGAGACTTCTTGCCCGGCAGTCGCACTTGCAACCACTCGGCCAACAAAGCAATTATAGTCTCACTGGGATATAAGCATTCTCACTGTAAAAACCGACCACATTGGCCCATCATAAAACATATTTTAATTATTAAAATGGCCGTACTGCTTATTACTAGAGAATCTAAATATTTTCAATAAATAAATAAAATGTTTATTTGGGGCCGAAACTGGTTAAAAATGTCTCTATTATTTAATACTAGAGATCGTTTACTGGTCGATATTTGACCGCATGTCTCGCGTAAAAGCTAAGTGCAATCGTATCAAAATCATTACAGAGACTAATATTATACTGGTCTTGATACTTTCAACTTTCCTAAAATCTAAGTCATGTAAGACAAGTTCCGCGATACAAACACTTATCACTGTTGCAATAGAGTTCAAAATCGTTGGGTGTAATTTTATGAATCTATTGCATATTTTATTCGTTATGTCGTACATATTTTACAAATACTCTAATATTTGCGACTACACCTATTCATGTCGTAAGGTAGTCGTATATTGATGAAGATACCTATAATGAAAATTGTTTTTTTTCTAGAGCTAATTCTATTATTAGGTAAACGGCTTGGGGCAATATAAATTAAATAAAGCTTTATGCTAATGTACTTAGGGTACAATTTTGTTTCTCGCATTACCTATATCAATTCAATATTGGTCTTGCTCCTATATGGGAGCAATGGTTAGCATATGATATGCACTAAATCGGTGAGTATAGCTCTTATTGGTTAATATAAAATGCACTCTATGCCTATTGCTATTAAGTCTATATTTATTACTTATGTCGTGAATATTAAACACGTGGGAGGGTATGAAATTTATAACAAACCTTGCTTTGGCTAAAAGACCATTACTTATAAATAAGTACAATAAAATTGAGACCAAAATCAATTTGACTTAATAACATTTGTGAACTAAAATTGCAAATAAAACCTTAATAGGTTAAAACTAAGTTAATTTTTCAGTGATTTCATAACATTGAGTAGCTTGTGATAATTTTATAAAAACAGTAAAAAGTTAGCACTGAAAAATAAACTGACATGGTAAGTGGCACTCACTCGAATACTGAAACCTTACTCAATTTTAAGTCGAACTTAAATATAGTGCTATCTCTGTCATTTACAAAAAAAAATCTAGTGACAGAACTATGTATTCTTAAAAACGATTTAAAATTGAGTAGCGTTACAGAATTTGGGCAACTGACAAATTTTTAATCGAGAGTAGACAAAAACTTCTATCTTAATAATTATTTTTATCTAGTCTCCACTTTACTTATAAAACTGTTAGCATTGTAAGCGAGTACAGTTCAGACGGCTCAGTACGAATTTGTTTCTCGTTTTTCTGATTGGTTTATTCATTGGAGTATACCAATCGGCTCAGTACGAGTTTTGTTCTACTTTTAAAGTAAGCCGGCCAATCAGAGCAACGAACGCGGTCTCGTTTCGATCTAATTAAACGTAAAACGAATTCATACTAAACCTTCAGCTGTATTTTATCTTACTCCCATATTTTCAAGCTAAAGAAAATTTCATACATTAATGAATTACAAATAAGTTCATAGGACGCTTGTATCAAATTAATTACATTTTACGGTCTAACCACATAACTATTTAACGAGGTGGCTCGACCAATTTCAAGTTGTGTAAGGTACTTATAATCATAGTCTCGAAACCAGTCGAGTTACCTCGTAAAACATAATCAATTTACCAGTCAACCAGTAACGTGAGTAAACTTTAAAACACAACTAATTACATGTCACAAATGAGTTATAATATAAAAAGTTCGTTCATATGACAGAGTAGGTACATAAGTTAGATAACTTAGGGTGTTACCACACCAATTGATCGATCGTCGATAGAAGTTATCGATTGATAAAAAGTCATAGAATGAATAAGTCGACGTTGATCGATATTATCTACCAGTCTACCAGACCAATCGACCGATTGTCGATCGACGATTGATCGATGGTAGAATGGATAAGTCAATACCACTCGAGGTGCTTGGGCTCCCTATTATCTGACTGTCCATTAGATCAATGTCAACCGCTGACATCGATTGGCAACCGATCGATTGGATAGTCAATCGGAATCCGTCGACCAATTAAAGCTATCATACTAAACGATAAACATCGACCGATGTCGATTGGATTGATCGAGGATCGATCGATTGTTGTGATGCACCCTTACCTAGGAAGTAGTTACTTTTGCAGTGGCCCGTGTCGGGGCGGTCAGGAGTCGTTGGAGTGTTTCTGTATGGGGCGCGGGTGGTGGTGGCGGCGCCGCTGGTGGGCGCCCAGCAGCGCGCGCCCCGCGCCCGCGCAGATCTCGGCCCCGTCGCGCATTGTACACACTCGGGCCCCGCCCGCCAGGGAGTTGCCGATGTGGCTGAGGAAGGGAAATGTTTATTAAAACTGTATGTCCGTACGTACTTTTGGAGGCTGAGTCACCCCCTTCCGTAGGAGAGCACCCATAAATCTAAATCCCTACACGTGGCCTCTGGATGGCGCTAATCAGGCGACACTTTGGTGACAGGCTTCGGCCGCGGGCTTCATAACCACCCACCGAGCAAAAGCGTATTCCTGAAGGGTATTACCTGGTACCTGGGTGTCTTCAAGGCCCGAGTAAATAGGTTGCTTATGGGTCGACATGCTCCATCGTAGACCGCATCATCGCTTACCACCAGGCGAGATAGTGGTCAAACGTCGGTTCAAAAATATAAAACAAATGTCTTATACAAAGGTTGATGCCATAGGCATGCTCTACTAGTCGAATCTTTGGGTGACGCAGAGAAGAGTCAACGGTTAAAATAGCAAGCAAAAACCTCTACGTAATAATTTTGTTATTCATTTATATCTTTTAGTGACTGAAAACGTCAAGAATATTTGTTTCTAGTAAAAAATGTAATGTCACTAGAGCAGTTTTAACTGGCAAGGAAAATTGATGATTTTACAAGTTTACTGCAAATTATTCACATTTTATAACCATACATTAACTCAAAAGAGAATTCAAACATTGTAAAAGTACAAACAGATTTTAGAACTTAATAACAGTAAGATAAAGAAAACTCACCGTATAGTATGGAAAGGCACATGTCCAGTAGTGATCCACTCTAGCGCTCCGCCATCCTGTAGGGCGGCGCACCCCATGAACTTGAACGCACTCGCGCATGCGAAGAATATTATCACGCGATTACCCTCCTGCGCCAAATAAAATAATGTTTTGAAAAATGTATTCTTAAATTGTGTTTAAAAAAAACCTAAAATAAACAAGATTTTATGTAATATCCGGAACTCGGAAATAGAAAATTATAGGTATCTTATATAGTTTTATAAACAGTGTTCTCAGATTTCTAACAAAAAACTAAACTTAACTTTGAAATAGAGAAACTAACGCAGTGAACTACATGAGGGACTGACCTGTTTAATTTTCTGCAGTTTCTTGGCGGTGTTCTGCGCGAAGGTGTACGTGCCGGCGGCCTGCGCCAGCTCCACGCCGTGCGCGTCGTCCGCGCGACACACGAAGTAGCGCGCGCCCCCCGCGCCCCCCGCCCCGCCCGCGCCCTCCGCGCCCTCGCCGTACTTCTCTATGTTGGCCAGCAACGTCTTGCCGTTGGGGGACATCGGACTCTTGGGGCCGCTGTACGACTGAGGAGAAAATGGCTGAGGAACATCGTTCCTCCATCCCCCAGGCCTACCCTGACCATTCCTATACCCCCCATAGGCATTGTTATAAAAGTTCCCTCCTGGAAATCCGCCCTCATTCTGATTGTACTGAGGGTAATAATTCTTATTGTCGTGACGATACTGCTCGTCATTCTCCAGCCTCGACCGCCAGTTCGGTGAGTCTACCGTCAAAGGTTTCGGTCTCTGTCCGATACCGCTCGGCTGATTCAGACCTACGTTCTTCTCCTCAGCGCCCATTATATGTACTACAGTACTTAGTATCTGCTCGTCTAGAGGCGTCATAGGTTTAGCTGGGTTGGACATCCGACGTATTACTAGTGCACAGAGTTTCTGTCGGAGGTAGAATACGTTGAGAGCGTCTGCAGCATCAGTAGTGAAGGCCATCCAGTCGTCTATAGTTATGACAGCGGCATCAGGGGACGCGTTGTTCTCATCCGCCTCACTGTCGGAGTCACTGGACAGTCCGGGCGGGTTGGCTCGCTGCGTCAAGGCAGAATTTGGCAACCGCAACGGTCCACCGAACAAGGCTACCGTCAGAGGCGTCACTAAAGTATTACAGCGAATGAAACAGAACCTGCCAGCTCTGGATATCTCTTCAAACACCACCCAGTCAGTGGGCAGGTTGTGTACAGACTTCTGTGACCCAGTGATGCCCCCGCCTTGGTGTAATGTAGAGCTGGGATGGAAGGCTACCTTCACTTCCTTCGACGTTCTCAAAGTGGAGGAGTCTCTATCCACGCGCGCTATTGAGGGATATAACCCACTAACTAACACAGCCTTCACAACGTGCCATTTCTCGGAGTTGAGATTGACGTCCTTTATGTCTCCGGAGCCTCGCGCCTTCACTAAACATAAAGCTCTTAGCTGAGCCAGTAACTGTGACCGGTATCCTACGATCATCTCCATAGTAGCACCACAGATTAAGTTCTTGGCACAGAATGCACGTTCTGTCCCGTTAGCCCTGGCGGTCTGCCAAGCTTGGAACGCCCTCAACAAGGCCATGTGGTCGGAATAACTGTCTGCTGCGAACTCCTTCCGAGCCAAACTTCCCTTCTTTCTATTTTCAGGGTTCATTGATATCTGGAAGGGTTCCTTATTGGCCAAACTACATACTATCGTTAGAATAGGATCGAGGCACTTCATTACACACGCGTACAACAACATCTTGCCTAGCTTCGGTTCCACGGTAAGGTCTAGAAGATGTTGTCCAATTTCAGTTAGGTCTTCCATTGGAGTTAAAGCACCGATGGTCTTGAGTAAGGAGACGGCGTTTCTGACGGCTAAGAAGGAAGGTGGTTCTAGGGCTTTGGATAGGAAGTCTGCTATGGGAGTGTTGCCAGTCGCCAAGAGCTTGGTATGCAGACATAGTTCTTGTAGAGGTACGCGGAGTATTTCAGGGACGGAGTTTAGTGGTAGAGTAGAGAATCGTCGTCGTGAGCAGAGATGGTAGCACTTCCCTGGCGCGGTCCGTCCAGCCCGGCCAGCTCTCTGCTGACACCCGGCGCGAGACGTCCACACACATTGTAGGGAACATACTCCACCACCTGACTCGTAGTACTTCTCTTTTACCTATAAAAGGAGAGAATCGAATCATTTGAAGTAAAATCAAATTATTTGTTTCAATTACACTAATCATTCTTTTATAAACAACGTTAAAAAAACCGACTTCAACTCCCTCTTTTGTTGAGATCGGTTCTTTACATATGACATAACATCACGCCTTTTATCCCCGTAGGAGTAGGCAGAGGTGCACATTATGCCACTGTACAATGTAACACCCACTTTTCACTATTTATGTTATGAGTCCCATGTAATAGGGGGTGAGCCTATTGCCATATACTGGGCACATTTCCAGACTCCGTGCTACTACTGAGATTTAAAAACCCAGTAATACTTTGCCCGACCCGGGAATCGAACCCGAGACCCCTTGCCCGGCAGTCACACTTGCGACCACTCGGCCAACGGAGCAGATCGGTTCTTTAATATACTAAAACCTTCTCTTAAGTGAAAATCGCATCTAAATCGGTTCAGCTAATCGCGAGATAATCGTTTACAAACATGCATACACACAGGTCAAACAGAACCTACTTTTTTTGAAGGCGGTTAAAAAAAGATTCGACCAACGAGTTGTTCAAGGACATAGTCAAGTGACTACACGCGTCCTGTTGAGCAAAGGCTCTCAAATTCGATACCCAGGTCGGAAAAAGTAATAATAAGATTTTGCTGCTCAGTAAGAAGTCAGAATATAAGGAGAATAGTGCGTGCCCCACTGTAGCTATATCTTAAAATTTGGGCACTGAAAAAATTCACAGGGCAGTAAATGCTTTAAATTGTGCCTATAAAAGTGTATGACAATAAGCCACCTACCATTACCTAACCCTTCGAGAAACAAAAAAGTAAATACATAATCAATTCTTACCTTACAAGAATCCACCACATACACAACATCATCAATCGTAATCGACGTCTCAGCGATATTAGTTGAAATTATAATCTTCCTCGCATTAGGTAGGGGATTGAACACTTTCTTCTGATCCAACGTCTGCATGTTACTATGCAGTGTAAAAATCTGGTACTTATGACTGTTCATGTCTGAACAGGACTGGATCATATCTCTTAGAGTTACTATATCATCGTAGCCGGGTAGAAAGACTAAGATACTGCCTTTTGGCATGTTCACATGGATATATTTGATTAAAGCTAGCATGAGATCATGGTCTATTAATTCTTCTGACATGGTATGATGGTAGACATCTAGAAGGAAGTTGTCCGCTGCACTATCATCGTCTGCGTTGCCTTTCGGTTCCTCGGTTAAGTTAAATGTGGATAATAATTTGGCACAATCTGTGTGGTTGTTTTCTACAGCGTAATCGTATGCTGTTTTGCCGTCTTTGTCCTTTGCTGTGGGGTCGGCGCCTGTGAGAAGGGAAATTATTTGATAATAATTACAGATAGTTTTTTAACATAACATCACGCCTTTTATCCCAAAAGGGGTAGGCAAAGGTGCACATTATGCCACAGTACAATGTAACACCCACTTTTCACTATTTATGTTATGAGTCCCATGTAATAGGGGTGAGCCTACTGCCATATACCAGGCACAAATCCAGACTCCGTGCTACTACTGAGATTTTTTTAATAACCCAGTAATACTTTGCCCGACCCGGGAATCGAACCCGAGATCCCTTGCCCGGCAGTCGCACTTGCGATCACTCGGCCAACGAGGCAGTCAGATAGTTTTTTAATTGGTATTTATTAATTAAATTTTTGATGTAAGTGCTATTGATTGTTGTCAAACACTTAGTTCCAGAGATTTTTGTTTAAGTGACAAAAACCTTTAGAAATCACACTGGCGTTCAAGCTTGACGACTCAACTTGTTAATTCTATTATATTTATAATGTTATCTATTGTCGTTATAAGTTCGAATTCCATTCATAACGTTTAATAATTTGGAACTTATCCATTCTCATCACATTGGCCAAAAACCAAGCTATATTGTACAACATAAATATTTTCTCTATATTCATAATTTCGTCAAGAGGTACGGTAGACTCGATCGAAACATTACCTTAATAACAAAACATATCGATTTCGAGCCGACAACGTTTCGTTTTATTAATTAATTTTAATGACACTGACAAAAAAAACCGCAGTCGCCATCTTGAGTAGACAATAAACGTTCCGTTTCCTACTCGATTGTCAAAGAAGAACAAAAAGTATAAATTAACAAGAAATATGAATAATATCACGCGAATCAAGTCGCGGGTAACAGCTAGAATGTAGATCCACTGACCAATCTGCAACATCTGCGCGATGGTCTCGGTGAGTCCGCGCGCGGCGGCCGCCATGAGGCCGGTCCGCCGCGACCGCGACTGGCCGCACGACACCGGCACGCCCTCCGAGATGTACATGTACAGGATCTGCGTGAACGAGTCCTGCGGGGGGACTTGGACTTCAATCATTTAAGCCAAATAAGATCTCATAAAAGGATTTTTATATTGGGCCTGTAGAAATTAGTAAATTGAACCCTAGTTTATAGACTAAATAGTATATCTATGGTAGAACCTTAGTTCATAGATACTTACCTTTATATTATTGTCTATGATTCCGGTTACGTGTCTTCGAGTGTTTTTGTTTTATGTATTGCTCTGAATAAAACTATATTTCCAAAGTTAAACCTGTTTATCCTAATTAAAAATAACAAGGACAAACCCGCCACAGCCTCCCAAACCGTTGCAAATCCTGTAAGCCAGGATCTACAGTTGATACAACCATGAAGCCACCGGGACACTGAAGTCCGGCGCGTCCCAGGAACATGAATAACTGTCTTGGTTCCCGCAACGAAGTGAATCAGAAGATATTATAAGAGGAGAAGAAAAAACGATAGTTTCCACTTCCCTCAATGACTTTATGCAGGAGACAGAATGAATTAAGCCTAAAGGCACATCGTCACTCATCTAAGGAATATAGGACGGAAACGTATGAATGCGACCTTAATGTTATCAAGTGACTTTCAACCTTAAATAGCAATAAGACTCACCAGCGTGCCTTCATTGAAGCATTCATCGAGGAACTCGTCCATATCAGCCTGTAAGGAAGGCTCCATCATATTGTCTTTATCTTCCTTTATATCCTTACTGCTGCCTGCGTCGTCTTGTTTTTGACCTGTTTTATGAAAAAGGTACTTCTATTTTAGATATACTTCAGCTTAACATCATGCCTTTTATCCCCTAAGGGGTAGGCAGAGGTGCACATTACGGTACTTAATGCCGCTGTACAATGTAACACCCACTTTTCACTATTTATGTTATGAGACCCATGTAATAGGGGGTGAGCCTATTGCCATATAATACAGATTTATTTCAGTGGCAAATGAAAGAACAACAAACCCTTTTTTCGCCAGTTACCTATGTTATAGATAAGTAAAATCATTTAATGCATTATGGGCGAGCCTATTCCCATTGCATAGAACGGTATATATGATATGGATTACTAGTCAACTTGTTTTCCGACCGGTAGTGTAGTTGAAAACCATACAAAAATTTCTCAAAACAAAAGATATTGTGTTTAATAAGTTTGTACAGACAGACGCAAAGGGAACCATTTTTTATATTATGTAAGGATAGAAGAATACATACCCTCGAGATGAGACCAATAACTATTTCCACTTTTCAGCTTGGCTTTCAATTCCTTCTCAACTTGTATCATTTTAGGAGTCTTGTACTGTGAGATCTTGAGGATATCTTCCAGATAGAACCTCTGTACCTCGTGTAGACGACCCGGGATTGTAATCACTGGACAGTTGTTGAAATACCTGGAAATTGAAAGTTAAAGACTGGTTTAAGAAGTGGTTGTGAAAGGAAAGCTGATTTTAAATGTTGGAATGACCCGGAATAGAATTATCATTCTGGTCTAGCTAAACTACTGCAATATTAGACAAAAGTAGAAGCGAAGCAGTAGTATAACGTAGTCGAAAAACGTCATAGCTTCTTTATATTTTATTGCGACAGATTTTTTGAACACATTAATTGCACCCCTACTTATTTATTTATTCGTTTATTTATTCGAAGGAGTACGGCCACATCACAAACATATAACATTCAAAATACACAATAGTAACAAAATAAAGGTCTGATGCATGCGACAATAATGGCGTACATAGCATTGAACCCCTAGACTAACGCGGTAATCAAACAAACCGGTACCTTATTTGCATGCGAGAGAATTTTTTTTTATAGGATAAGACGATAAACGAGCAGACGGATCACCTTATGGTAAGCAATCGGCGTCGCCCATGGACACCTGGAACACCAGAGGCGTTTCAAGTGCGTTACCGGCCTTTTGGGGATTAGGAATTTGAGGATTGTTGGGGATTCAGGGATTGGGGAGATTAGGAAAGGGGAGGTGTAATTGGGCCTCCGGTAACCTTTACCACACGACGAAACACAACGCATGTTTCGGTAATCGGCACAAATGGTCGGCTTGAAACAGGAAACCAGTGTGAAACTAAACTACCAAAGCTTTCTGTTACGTTATGGGAAAAGGCCGGCAACGCACTTATAACTACTCTGTAGGCAACCCCAGTGGGCGCAGATTGCTTACCATAAAGTAAATATGATATAGAAGACAGTATAAGTATTACCGTGAGAATATCTGCGTGTCCATGGTGGCAGACATGAGTATGAGCTTGAGGTCCTTGCAGCGCGGCAGGGCGTCCCGGAGTGCAATCAGTAAGAAGTCACTGAATTTATCGCGCTCGTGCACCTCGTCCACGAATATATGCGTCACTCCTGCAAATAAAATAGAATAAATAAATATGGTAATCTAGTTAGACCGGTCCACACTAGAGTGCCGATTACGATCTAGTCTTGTACTGGTAAATAGGAGAAATAATGAGGGCATTTAGATTGAACCAGACCTTTTTTTTAAGGGGGGAAAATCATCGAATGACTGCTCCCGCCTGGGTGAGGCGGAAGGGAGTGTCAGACTCTTACTGACTAAAAACCACCCCGTTTCTCCTCCTGCACGTCGATCCGGAGCCCCGGTTACCCGTTAGGTTCTCCGCGACGAACCAGAACTTTATCGTTGATACAAATACCATATTATAAGCACCATAGTGTTTTCTGCTAAATATTGAACATTCAAGCCTCCAGAACCTGTCAGAAATGCCTGGTATTGAGCTTAAAATTTTGAACTAAGCATTATAAAATAAGGATTACTGAGAACTTTTAAAGTATTTCTACCAAATCCAGGGATCAAAGTCAACACTCATCACTTATTACCACTTTACTTCAACACCCAATAAACATGTATCAAAATAAAATAACTAAAATAAAATCAAGGTATTACTCTACCGACCTGTGAGCGACGCGTCCCCCGCCATGAGCGTCCTGAGCAGTACTCCGTTGGTGCAGTACGTGAGCACGGTGCGCGGACTGACGCGGGACTCCAGGCGGATCTGGTAGCCGATGGACTGGCCTATCTTCTCCATGCGCTCGTATGCCACCTGCCAATGAAATGAGTTACAGTTACTAAAAAGACTGGATAAAGACTGATATTTCTGAAATATCCTAAAGAATAAATAAGAATTTTCTTTTTTAAATTAAAACCTGGATCTGAGAGAGAGGCCTTAGTACGAGTTTGTTTTACGCTTAAAGTAATCGTAACGAGTACGCGTTCGGCAATCTGATTGGTCGGCGCCAATGAACCAACCAATGAGAGCGCTGAACGCGTACTCGTACGATTACTTTAAGCGTAAAACAAACTAGTACTAAGGCCTCTGACTGGGGAAATATCTAAATCTATTTACTTTATAAATAGACATGTCTTTTGAAAAAAATTGCGCGAGTCTCAGAAGTGGAAATTTCCCGCAACCAGTCAGCAACGCACGTATAACACTTCTGGAATTGCGGGTGCTCATTGACGGCACTGATTGCTTACCATCAGAAGATCCATAGCGCGTTAGCCCCATCCAAAAAAATATCAAACCCTATAATACTCAACACAGACACACAAATGAGACATAGTACATCTTATACTATTATATAAAGCGGAAGAGTTTGTTCTTTGTTTGTTTGTTTGAACGCGCTGAGCTCCGTAACTACAAGTCTGATTTGAATAATTATTTTTGTGTTGAATAGCGCATTTATCGAGGATGGCTATATGCTATAAAACATCACGCTACGACCAATAGGGACTGAGCAGAGCGTGTGAAACCGCGCGGAAGTCATCATCATCATCATCATATCAGCCACAGGACGTCCACTGCTGAACATAGGCCTCCCCCAATGACTTCCAGATAGGCCGGTTGGAAGCGACCTGCATCCAGCGGTTCCCTGCGACCTTAATGAGGTCGTCTGTCTACCTTGCGGATGGACGTCCTACGCTGCGCTTGCCGGTACGTGGCCTCCACTCGAGAACCTTTCTGCCCCAGCAGCCGTGCGTTCTCCGCGCGGAAGTAGCTAGTTTTAAGTATAAATAATTGAAGGACGCACCCTCTCAGCAACTGAAACAGCGGAGATGCGTCGTGGCTGCGTGCAGTAGATGCGCGCGGGCAGCTTCTGTTCCTGGCACTGGTCCAGCACCAGCTGCGGCAGCTGGGTCGTCTTACCGCACCCGGTCGCGCCCGCTACTATTATCACCTGGACAACGAAATATAAATTAAAGTTTGAACCTTATATTTATTTATTTATTAAAACTTTATTGCACATACAGTGAAATTGGCGGACTTAATGCCGTAGGCATTTTCTGACAGTCGACCATTGGGTGGTGCAGAATGTTAAAGCGGTAGGTGTAAAATTGTAAAAAGAAAGTATGAAGTAGATAACGAAGTTAAGGTAATAAAATATTAAAGAGGGAAGACATGATTGTTATAGTCGATAAGACATAACTAAGGTACCTTATATGTATAATTTTGTTAAAATTAAAACTAGTGTTAACTCTAATTAATCTCTGAGTAGTAGGTTTACCCTACTTACACTTTCTCAGTTTATAACATGCAAACCGGAATAATGTTAGATGATTTGTAATATGCTCATTACTCAAGTTAAAACTATACAATAGGTTTACTATTTTAGCATAATAACAGTTGATATCAAGTGTCTGGACATAAATGTACACATATATGCAGATAATTTGCATACAAAATAAAGACATGTATATGTAATGAACTAATGACATTACATCATTTATAGCTATCAAAATAAATAATTTATACAAGCATTAAAAAAAGCAACTGCCTCGTTGGCCGAGTGGTCGCAAGTGCGACTGCCGGGCAAGGGGTCTCGGATTCGATTCCCAGGTAGGGCAAAGTATTACTAGGCTTTTAAAAAAAATCGTAGTAGCAGTAGTAGCACGGAGTGTAGAATTGTGCTCGGTACACGACAATAGGCTCATCCCCTATTACATGGGACTCATAACATTAATAGTGAAAAGTGGGTGTTACATTGTGCAGTGGCATTAAGTGCCGTAATGTGCACCTCTGCCTATCCCTTAGGGGACAAAAAGGCGTGATGTTATATTATGTTATGTAAAAAAGCAATAATTTATTCAACATAATGCACTATTCGAATGAACGAATTGGAAAAATACAGCATGTGAACAAAACAGTTTATTCGGGGTTTCCCCAACTTAAATTATTTCTTACGTAAAACTTGGTATGAGCGCAACAGATAATTTATTTTTATTGTAGGGGAATTCCCCAGATATATTTTATCGCATGACATCTGATCTCTGGAAATAGAATGCATTTATATTATGTTATAGCTATATTCCACGAGAGAAACTATTTCGCGTTACAAAGGACGCAACTCGTAAACTCAGTTCTCTTATTATGAATTTCGAAAATACTGCGTCGAAACCCAAAAGGACCCCAGCCGAACCGCTCGAAGCATTAAATCTTCGAAAAATCGTAGTTGTAACCATTTTGTTGCAATGATAACATACACATTATAATTACTAATATACAGAATAAAATACAGTAATACAATATACATACATACAATACAAGCATTTGACTTTTTAAAATAGGTAATATTTACAAAAACTGCCTCATAGGCCAAGTGGTCGCAAGTGCGACTGCCCGGCAAGGGGTCTCGTGTTCGATTCCCGTATCGGGCAAAGTACTACTACTGGGTTTTTAAAAATGTCAGTAGTAGCACGGAGTGTGGAAATGTGCCCGGTAATTACATGGGATTCATAATATAAATAGTGAAAAAAGGGTGTTACATCTTACAGTGGCATTAAGTCCCGTAATGTGCACCTCTGCCTACCCATTCGAGGATAAAAAAGGCGTGATGTTATGATTTACAAAAAAACAATAACATTTCTTGCTCATTCTCTTCCATACAAGTATAACATAGGTACATTTTGGAACAAGCATTTCAAACTGACAGATTTTAGCAAAATTCTTTGCTTATAATGAAAGTTTTGATTTCAACCACTTAATACAAACCTGGTTATGTAGTATTGCATTGATGAGCTCCTGCCTTTGTTCATATACTGGTAGCTTCTCTCTGAACTTTAACAGATCTGGATTGTACTGTGTGTTGGGTACCTAGAAATCATACAGTAAAATGTTAACATAGTTGACACAGTGGCAGGGTTAACAGGCTTCTGAGTAACATGTCATAAGTTTAATTCTCATATAGAACAAGTAATATTTTTGTCACAACAAAATTAAATTGTTATTCCAAGTCAGTTGTAGAACAATGTTGCAATTTAAAAGATATGAATTTCATCTTAAGATAACTCTGCATACACACAAAGAAACATTGTAATACTAAATTATAGGACACTGCTTACCATATCCTTTTTCTTCATACATTAAAGAGGCATGTAATGATGACAAGATACAATTAAAAGTATTATTATGACAAATTTCTTATTATTATTGTTTGTTGATGCATCATTTTTATTTTAAGATAAGGCAAATGAAACTGACAGTTTCTTAATCCTTACTAATATTATAAATCGGAAATTGAGTTTGTTTGTTTGTTTGTTTGTTCCGATTTCACGCCGTAACTACTAAACCGATTGCTTTGAATTTTTGCAGACGTAAAGTTAGAAGTCTGGATTATATAGGGTACTATTTATCCCGAAAAAATTTGATATTCCCGAGGGAAAACAAAAGTATTGGTATAGATGGCGCTGTATGTATTGGTATATGTCACATAGGCTACTTTTTATCCTTTTGTGACGCGAGCGAAGCCACGGGTAAAAGCTAGTATCTTATAAGGTGGCATTTAAGTTCCATTATAAATAAAGAGCAATAGACAAAGACTCGGATAATAATTATCTAACATGACTTTTTAAATAAGTTCTAACATACCTGAGCAACTCCATTATTCAGCTGCCCCATGGTCTTATGTGTGAGCTGCGGACTTCTTTCCTTCTCCGGACAGCTGCTAAGGTCATCCTTCTCCTTACTGGTGACTGGAAATGCACTGAGCAACTCCTTGATGGTACATCGCATGTTGGAGTCCAATATAAGTTTGGCATCATTCTGTATTATTGTTGAGCCAATCCTCTTGTATATAGTTATGTAGCGATTCACACCTGTTAATAAAAAAGGTTTAATGTGTTTTAGTCTGTTTTGTCATTTATAATCTGTGTAGAGTTGTGTAATTAAATACCATAATTTTGAGGACTTTTTTTTTATTTGTTTCGATTTGGTAAATTGGAGGGAATCAAGTTAATATTTTTCAGATATTTAAACCACAATTTGCTGTTTTCTTATAGGCAGGAAAAAGGTCAAGGTCTATACTATATTTGAAAAGGTAGTCCCAAACAGATGCTATCCAGTTCTTAAGAAGGGTGTGGACTCTTTATTTTGGTGATTGAGATCAATTTAACTTTGTATTTAGGTTATCTAAAATTAGATGATATACAATATTGTATGAATTTGTCTCAAATAAATATTACATGAGAGCATGCTGTTACTGTTTACAAAGATAATATGGAAATCTATGTTAGGTATGTTTATGTAATCAATACAGTGATTGGATATATTATCAAAAAGGTTCTAATAAAATGTGTAGAAATGATATTGTTGCGCAACAAATAGTAAATGAATGAAATGTTACTCAATTAATCAATTTTGTTTTTTGCCTTGCATTACTGGTTTCTCTTGTGTATATTTAGTGTATGAGATTTATTTTAAATTATTTACAATGATTATTTTTGCAGTGTATATTCCCTACTGTAAGTTTTAGTGATGGATCAATTTAAAATCTAGATTAACATTAAAAATTTTACACATTTCAGTTATGGAAAATATTTTTATATACAAATTTTTTAAAATATGTTTTTAAATTTATTAGTGTAAAAAAAGTGAATTCCAATGAGAAACAGTCTCATTGGAATACACTTTTATGCTTCAATATTTCATAACAGATTGCAAGTAAAATATTACATATTATGTGAAATATAGACATAACAATTATAGATATACCGTTTATCTAATAAAATAGGACCTATTTACATAAATAAATGTAAATGTTTAGATAATAATACATTTTGTCGCATCAAAATACAATCAACCGTATAGTACCGTATCAATAACATACCTTTCCCGCGCGATTTCGACTTCAGCCCGAGTTTAGCAACAGTCTCGTGGATGAATCCTCGCTCTTGCGCCGACAAGAAGGTGGGAAACTTAAGCTCAGTCTCATTTTCATCACTAATGAACTTATCCAACTGAATCTTCAGTGCTATGCTCACAGATTCAGCTATAGGAAAATATTTGTTTCCATGACGTCTTCCCTTTTTAGAACTCATTGTAACACTTAAAATAAGCTATCCACAACGAATTACACATAAATTAATACAAGATACTGTATATATAAGCAAATAAATATCAACGACGGACTATTTAGATGAAAGAAAAACGAAACGAATACGATTCCATATTTATTTCTTGCTTTTGATAGGGTGGAGCACTTGCTTATTTAAAGGCGATTTTAGTCGATTTTCAAACAAGTACAACATAAAATATTTTATTGAAATTTATCTAATATTTTTAGTGATGATATGGAAAAGAGATTTGGATTACTTTACGTTGATTATAATATGGTGAAAAATCTTATTCTCTAAAGTTTCTTCAAAATTCAATATTTTAGTTAAACACTTTTGTTACATTAGTCGACTACACAAAATGAATACTAAGAATTACTACATTACTATTGACACAAATTGTCATCTTGTCCAGTGTTCCATTCTCGTTCTCGAGCTAGCAATTGTACAATTTATAGCATGCATTTGTTTAGCAATATTTTTTTAACATTCTTGACGGAATTATAAAATATTCATACAATTACAATATTTTTCGTTTTCACCATTCGTTTTAGTTCATTTTAAGTTTTACATATTTATTTATATACATTTTTTATAAAATTACTGTGGCAGTGGCACTATTGTGTTCATGAAATTGTAAAAACTTATGATTATTATAGGTTAATGGTTGCGAAATTCTTCAGCAGAGATATTCAGCAACGAAATCATGGAATGTTCGAAAGTGTTTCCAAAGATTTGTTACCTATTTACATTTTTTATTTACCTGTGGTTACTGACAGTCTGTTTGTCTTTGTCATTAATGTCATTCTTTCTTTCTTCTGATTGAGTCTTGACGTTTGACAATATTGCCAAAATAATTAACACGAGCATCGAGCACGTGAAGGAAAGAAATTACATGAAAAACGTTTTATTGAGTGTGATTTTCTAATGTAATACAACAAAATGTCGAAGAATATTAAGCATTTAGTGGTGGACACAACCGCATTTATAAAGGCAGCTAGTTTACAAGATATCGCTGAAAATGTTTACACAGTGCAAGAGGTTATTGATGAAATTACTAACGACAGACAACGCAGAAAACTCGTAGTGCTACCGTATGACCTAATCGTCAAAGATGTCTTCACTGAGAACATTAAATTTGTGACTGATTTCTCCAAAAAGACTGGCGACTACCGCAGTCTCTCGGCAACAGATATAAAGGTAATAGCACTAACTTATCAGTTGGAGAAAGAAAAAGTGGGTACTGATCATCTCAAAACTGAACCAACAACACAGAAAGTTGTCAAAGTAACTGGTTTAGCCAACTACAACTCGAATGGAAATTCTGCTGATGATTCAGAAAAGATCAACCAAGAAACTGGGGAACCGTCAGAGAAGACAGATGGAGAAACAGGCGAAGTTAACACTGTAGACAAAATAGTTCCTCAAACGGATAACATTGCAAGTAATGAAGACAATGGCAATGATGATGAGGAGATGGAAGCAGAAGAAATTGCTGAACAAATAAAAAATATGGACATTAAAGAGGAAAATGTAGATGAAATCATTGTTAAGGTTAATGAAGAGGAAGAGCAGTCTGAGAGTGAGGAGGACTCGGACAGCGACAGTGATGGTGGAGACTGGATCACACCTGGCAATGTTGCAGAGAAAAAGAAAGAAATGGAACTCGGAGACTTTGAAGACAAGTCTGTTGAAGTGGCTTGTACAACATCTGACTTTGCTATGCAGAATGTTCTTAAACAAATAGGACTCAATGTGACCTCAGTTGATGGAAGGATCATCAAACATTTACGTACATTCATCTTCAGATGCACAACATGCTTCAAAACCACAAGTGTGATGACCAAAGTGTTTTGTCCTAAATGTGGACACTCTACACTGAAGAAGGTTGGTGTGAGTATTGATGACGATGGTGTACAGCACATTCACATCAATGGTCGGAAACCACTAACAGCTCGGGGTAAGAAGTTCAGTCTTCCTACACCAAGAGGAGGTCAACACTTCCAGTACCCAATCTTGACTGAAGACCAGCATATCCATAAGAGATTTGCCACAAAGTTGGCCAGAAATAAAACTAATGCTATGGACCCTGATTACACAGCCGGGTTCTCACCCTTTGCTGCGAGAGATGTGAACTCAAAGTCAGCTGTCTTAGGTGTAAGAGCAAACAAGCAAGATCTAAAGTACTGGATGAAAAACTGCTACAAAGGAAAGAAGAAATAAACTTGTATTTATTTGGCTGCAGCCATTTTTATATATAGGAAATAAAGATATTTTACCATAAAATAAAGTATATTCATATTTAAATGCTACATTATTGAAATGTTCACTTATACATATAACAACAGTAAATTATACATTGTGCGTACAAAACATTATAGTGAGACTTTCTCATCAATAAACTTGAACACAGATTCCATACAGGAATATGATGTCATTTCATGCTTCTGATGGCCTGTGGAAAGTAAAAAAAGTTTACATATTTGCAAAACATTCTATAAGATTCATAAAAAAAATTAAAAAGTAACTTACCAGCAGAAACACGAGGGATATCATAATCTGGAGTGTTCATTGGTGTGTCCAATGGAGACTGACTTGATATCCAGTTTCTAGCGGCCTGTAAATATAATAATGAGTTTTAATGGGAAAATAGGACATTGTGATGACCTTAACGAAGTATCAAGACAAAGAATGCCACATTAGACCAAACTATAGATAAATTGACTTACCTCTTTCATAAACTTAGTAATTTCAATATTAGAGTACACATGCACTGAGTCTGTAAATGCAATTGCCTTCACTCTCTTCTCAAATTCACTCTTGAGCTGATCAGCCAATGTCACAGTGAGTACTCCTCCATAACTATGAGCTACTATTGCTATTTTCGTTGCTTTCGTATTCTTCACATAATTCTTCCAGACATAATTTGTATGCTCTTCACCAGAACTACTGTTTGGGATTTTCTGGCCATTCGGTAAACAGTTGTCATTTGGATTTAGCACCATTACCCCATAACCTTTATCTTGGGCATTTTTAATGTATGGTAGCTGGGTCCCCATGTCCAAGTTATCATTGATTATGAGGCTGGAATAGAGAATTAGTATTGAATTAAAGTTAAAAATAAAGGTAAGATACATTTTAAGTGAGTCAACTTACGATCTAGCCCATTGTCCAGCTCTTACAGCACCAGATCCATGAATGAGTATGACTAACACATCTTTCTGATCATAGTCCTTGGACACAAAGATGAATGTTCCTTTATTGGAGTCTTTCGGGACTGGCAACCTGGTCAGGTTCCTTTCTGTTTCCATCAAATGATACACATACTCAGTGACTGCACTGCCCAGCTCCTCATAGTGAGCCTGACACTCTTGGTGCTGGTTACTAACATTGAATTGAAATGGTTCCTCTGTTACTTGTCCATCAACACCAACTTTCCGCAACTGGCCTTCTAGAAATTAACATAAAACAGATGTGAATGGTTTGTGTATGAACATTGTTACGCTATTACAGTTGATGAATTTATGACTACCATTCATAAACAAGAAAACAGTGTGTATAGGTATCTAGTATGGTTATCTTTCACCTTTCGAACCTCGAAATCAAGTAAAGATAAAAATGTTTACCACTGTTGAAGGCGTAACCCAAGCGTTTCATAGCTTTGACTGCGTCCATTTTTTCTCCTTCAATGGTACAATAACTATGACCGGAAGTTTCTGACCAATTTTGCTTAGGCGGTTTACTCTTGAAGAAAACTCGAATTTTACGTAGAAATCTGAGTGACATGGAGCGCTACGCAAAACAAGAACTAGAAAAGAATTCAGAACACAAAACAACTTAACTCCGCAATAACTAAGAAGGAAACTATATTTTATTGATAAAACACAATTTAAAAATAAACAAAATTAATTCAAATGTATGAAAATTATTGTCTACTACTTTGACGTTTCTTATTAGTTTAGAAACATTCACCAATTAGTGTTTCATGTCAGTGAGACTATTTCGGTTTCAGAACGTAAAATAATATTGTTAAAAAAAGTTCTAAAAATCATTTTTTTAATAAGTAATACTTTTCTGACTTGGATGGGACGGTTTCGGTCGAGTGGTCGCAAGTAGGCCTACTTTGGGCTTGATTATGAGGGGCTAGTAGCAAAACTACTAAGAGTATGCCATGGCAATCAGCTTAGTCTCGTTACATTGCTCTTATGATTACTAGAAATTGAGTGTGTTTTATGGAATAGGACGCAAACGAGTAGACCACCTGATGATAAGCGGTCAGCGCCGCCCATGGACACCTGCAACACCAAAGGAGCCACAGTAGCGTTGCCAGCCTCTTAAAAAGAATACAATCTTTTCTTCAAGGTTGTGTTCTTAAGTTTGACCGCGTTTGATCTATTTTTGAGAATTTCTTCTAAGCCTTTTGTAGCGCATAGATGTGTACAGGTATAAAAGTGTGCAAAAGTATTACTTATTACATTTTGCACCACTTAAGACTATTTTACTGAAGCTTTACTTGTATATTCTATCAGGAATAGGGTAGTATACAAAACAACATCTTAATAAATACATAATTATTATTTAATCATTATACCAATCTAAGAACAATAAGCTGAATGACATAACTAATAAGAAGAATAGTACATAAACTCTAAGCCCTGCATTCCGTTGTATAGCCTGCTTTATTTGTTCATTGGCATCCTTTACATTCTCTGTAGAACCAACTACGGTGTTAGATATCCTGTCTATGTCCTGTTCTTGTTGTAACACCTGAAAAAAAATAATTTTATTACAGTTATGTTCAAAATAACAGAAACTAAATTGTTTGACTTGTAGGAAGCAGTGAGAGAATCTTCAAAGCACCTTCTCAGTAAATATTTCCTGTAATTCAGCAATGTGGAGGACTTTGCTTTCTATCGCCCTAACTTCCTCAGTCATGCTGTTCAGCTCATTCAAGAGTTGCACATTCTCCGACTCAAACATCTGGAGCTCTTCAGCACTGATTTCTTCATCAGCCAATACTGCGACATCATTCTCACAGAGATCCATTTTCTTCACTGTGTCAGGTTCCTCCACTTCTTCTATGTCTTTATCTAAAACTTTATCAGTATCTTTCTCAGCTACTTTACCCACTATAAAGGGGTTTGGAATAGTGGATTTAGTTTGTGGAAGCTCCAACCGCGATAGTTTTCGCATGACTAGAGTTCGTTTTACCCGTAGAGCTTTGAGCTCGCTGTGAATCTTACAAACAGCTTTCAAGTACATATCTATGAGGTCGGCCACAGCTTCCATGTATTCTTTCATCTGAGGGGCTGCTGTTACCTTGCGGTTATCATTCCTAAACTCCTTCAGCAAGTGAGAGCATGTATTGATTATCCTTTGCGCTCCTGTATCTATTTGATCCCTCTCTGCATCCGTCATTTCTTCAGCAACCACATTGTCGTAGAAACTCAAGTATTTTTCACGATGCTCTAGTAAAAAGTCTCGTAATCTAGTAATTTGTGAAGTTATGTCTTTCGCAGTTATCATGAAAGCCGTTTTTGGCTTAGTTCGAAGAATACGCTGTTTATCATCGCTTGTTGGGCTTTGTATGCCAAAGGCCTTATTGCGAGTCTTCACAGTTTTTATATATGCTCTAAATAATGGCGTGATATCCATTTTGGTATCTAATAACCATATATTGAAGTTAAAACCAATTTATTAAAAATCTTACGAGTTCCCAGCTGTATTGTATTGATATTTTGGAAATGACATCTCATAACTTTAACGTCAAAAACAAATGACGTTTTTGTTTTTGTTCGGATACATCTATTCTCTGTTGAAAATCCTTTAACGTATGCTTCAGATGTGAACTCTGTTGTTGTTGTAGCTCTGGAACGTTACAGTTGTTATTTTCTGTTTTTCTCATTTCGGCTTTCATTATCTGTGGATTGATTTTACAATACAAAAGAAAAGCAGTAAAATAATCTAAAATTTTTCATTGTTTATTTTTTACTAAAAATACGGTAAAATCGTTAAATATACACAATTAAGATGGGGTCAACATCTGGTTACGCACATCAAGGCGAACATTCTATACCCATCGATATTTTAGATGACTTATGCAGGTAGGTTGTTTTTTTACGACCAAAATAATGAAACTGTAAACAGCATTCGGTTATTTACGTTGTATTAATGATAATAATCCATAACCAAGTTTAATAATGATGCATTTGAGAGAAAATGTAATTGTTAACAGATTTTAATAACAATAGATGTTCTATTCGGATTGCTTCTTGACAAAGTTCCAAAAACTTTGAGAACAAAAACTTCACAATCAAATCATTATTTACTACAACAAAAATGTAGGTAGAGTATCACAATTCTGTAAGAAAGTGGCCTCAACTTAGGGTAAGCCAAAGTTTGACCACTTTCTCAACATTAGAACAACAAACAGAAGGTTATTAAGAAAACTTGTAATAAAAAAACCAGTTTAGATATTTCTCTGTCTTATCATCCCATGCATCTATTTTCAGCCGTTTTATAATAAATCTGCCACATGAGGACCGTGGTAATCTGGTGCGAATTTGCTTCCAAATAGAGTTGGCGCACTGGTTTTATTTAGATTATTATTGTACGGATGAAAGCAACCGACTACATCCCTGTGGTATTAGAGAGTTTGCGGCACATATTTTTCAAGTAAGTGCCTCGTTTAACGTTAGATTGTTATATCATTTCCATTCATTGCCACATTTACAAAATAAATGATGTGCATTGAAAATGAGAAATAATGAATCAGCCAATTATCATGTGTAGTTAGTTGTGTGTTTTGTGAAATATGAATTAACTTATTTATTACTTGTTTAGGATTGTAAAAACTATATTTCTTTGTATTATATGACTGTGTACACTACCACTACTAAGATATGATTTTTTTATGAAAGGATCCCGATTTCTTTTTTTTATGGCATAAGCCGGTAAAAGGGCATACAGATCACCTGATGGTAAGCAATCAGCGTTGCCCATGGACACCTGGAACACCAGAGGCGTTACAAGTGCATTACCATCCTTTTGGGGATTAGGAGTTTGAGGATCGTTGGGGATTCAGGAATTGGGGAGATTGGGGAAGGGGAGAGTAATTGGGCCTCCGGTAAACTTTACTCACACGACGAAACACAACGCAAGCGTTGCTTCACGTCGGTTTTCTGTGAGGCCGTGGTATCATTTCGGACGAGCCGGCCCATTCGTGCCGAAGCAAGCATTACTCTCCCACACTTAAATTCCTAGATCATTCTAGATTAGATGTGTTTGTCAAAACAGATTTGTATGTATATTATTAGTTAATCAACTTTTGTTCCTGGTGGCTCTGGGGCACCAAACAAAAGGACTTGGATCTTTCTTTTCCTACTACTTAAAGTGGATATACGACATTAATTCTACAATTATGTTGTTAACAATCACTTTTTTCATTATATTCCTTATGATTTATTTGTAGCACGTCCCGCAACTCCGAGAGCATGTGAGCAGTTTGGATTCAGTGTTGGAGAACTGGCGCGAGTACAAACAGATGGTGCCTACGTACGGCGCCATCTTGTTGGACACAGATCTCACGCACGTGTTGTTAGTCCAGTCCTACTGGACCAAGGCCTCCTGGGGCTTCCCTAAGGGGAAGATCAATGAGAGTGAGGAGCCATGGAGATGTGCTATTAGGGAGGTGAGGAAACCATTCATAATTTATTCAATCATTGGTCGAAACTTTCTATGCTATTATTGCCCTTAAGTTACTATTTAGTATAAACTAAAAATCGCAGGTTACTCACGTTGCCTGCCTGGCCTCTGGCCTGCCTCGTTGGCCGAGTGGTCGCAAGTGCGACTGCCGGGCAAGGGGTCTCGGGTTCGATTCCCGGGTCAGGCAAAGTATTACTGGGTTTTTAAAATTCTCAGTAGTAACACGGAGTCTGGAATTGTGCCCGGTAGATGGCAATAGGTTCACCCCCTATAACATGGGATTCTTAACATAAATAGTGAAAAGTGGGTGTTACATTGTAATGTGCACCTCTGCCTACCTCTTCGGGAATAAAAGGCGTGATGTTATTTTTTTTTTGATGTTTATCACGTGAAAATATTGAGAAAAGCTCTACTAATTAGCTCTATTTAGTATTTGTAAAATTATTCATCACCATGTTTGTCTTTTCCAGGTCCTTGAAGAAACTGGTTTTGATATCAGTAAACTACTAAATAAGAATGATTACATAGAAGCTACTATACACGAACAAACTGTCCGCCTTTATATTATCGGATACATTCCTAGAGATACCAAATTCCAGCCGAGAACAAGGAATGAAATTAAAGCGTGTGAATGGTTTCCATTGGCCGATTTGCCGGCCAATAAGAAGGATATGACGCCGAAACTGAAGATGGGCGTGAGTCCTAACGCGTTCTTCATGGTGCTACCATTCGTGAAACGTATGCGGCGCTGGGTCGCCGAAAGGAACTCGAAAGTGTTCACGAATACTCGAAGGACGCGCCACAAGTCAATGGGAGACTTGGAGTCTACGTCGGCAACAAAAACTAAAGGAAAGCAAATCTCTCAAGGGCTGCAGAATGAAATACAAGAGTATCAGCAACTCAATTGTAATTCTGTGCCAAAACCGTTTAAGAACCATGGTAATCATAATAGCGGTAATGCTAATGTGCATGGTAACAACAACACCCATGGCAATATCCATAATCATGGATATAACCATGGGAATATGCCGAAAAATACTCCTAATCAAAATAATTCTAGGAAAGATAGAAAGATAGCTAAGCGTCAATTGTTTACACCGCAGAACGCTCACGGAAGTCCTAACGTGAATTTCTCTCCTGTTCAGAAAGACAGTAGTCCGCCTATGGTAGCTACTAATAATCACGTTGAATCTCCGGATGACAGTGTTTTCTTTAACTTTGTGGCTCCGTCGTGGGCAAACTTTAAGTTTGACAGACGAGCCATCCTCGAATGCCTTACCTGAGCGTAAGGAGGGACAAGTCTGGTTCTAACTCCCTATATCACATTGACTTCCTACTTCTATTTTGACAATATTTGTAATTAAAGAATTACAAAACAGTACTAATGTTGTTTTATTCCATACTCCTAGCATTTTTTTAAGGGGGGAAAATCATCGAATGACTGCTCCCACCTGGGTGAGGCGGGAGGGAGTGTCAGACTCTTACTGACTAAAAACCACCCCGTTCCTTCTCCTGCACGTCGAGCCGGAGCCCCGGTAACCCGTTAGGTTCTCCGCGACAAACTCCTTAGCATTAGGTTTACCCTTGGAATGGGTGGCGTGTAAATATTCATGTAGTAAAACTTCCGCAAGATTCACAATGTGGCTTCAAAAAAGCCGTTTAATAATTTCAGAGTTCATAGCATCGTGAACCGACAGACGACACGACGCGGATGGGGGGAGACACTTTTTAAATACGCACACATTTAAAAATAATTCTTTATTGTGTGAAACATTATCACAATAAGACAACATAATGTCATTTGTAAAACAGATAATTCAAATTCTCGGAAAGCCGGCATTACTATTTGCAGTCGTAACGTGGTCTAATAAAATTGATCAGCAGAGCGCATAGCTCTTACTGCATGATTGTAGCTGTTGATAAATACACGTTCAAAATGAATTATTTGATTGGCGGAAGACGACGAAGATACAATTCCAATTTATCTTCGTAAATAGAACTCAAGAGATTTCTTTTCATGATAGAAATCTGTGTTAACACCAAATGGTATTCTGTGGGATCCCGTCCATCATTTCTGTATGACTTGCTTCTCAATCTTTTCCTGCTGTTCTTCGGATTGCAATTGTTGCAATGTTAGTAAGGACACGCCGAGCTGGTCTTCGCGAGTGAACGGCTGCGCCATTTGACGGAGCCAGCGTTTGCATATCTGAGGATAAAAAATTACAAATTATAATAATCATTCAATTCACCAATACCACAATCTAGACAGTCATTATCCTTACTAATATTATTAATCGGAAAGTGAGATTGTTTGTTCCGCTTTCACGCCGGAACTACTAAACCGATTGCTTTGAATTTTTGCAGACGTAAAGTTAGAAGTCCGGATTAAATAATAGGGTACTTTTTATCCCGGAATTGATATTGATATGGAAAAATTGATATTCCCGAGGGAAAACAAAAGTATTGGTATAGATGGCGCTATATGTATTGGAATATGTCACATAGGCTACTTTTTATCCTTTTGTGACGCGAGCGAAGCTGCGGGTAAAAGCTAGTCTACTATACCCTAGCTAAAACATAGAATCAAATAAAAATGATCTATTAAATCGTCTATTAGAACTTGCAAAACCAGCTTTAAAAATCAAAACGCATATAACGCAGCATAAATTATGAAGATGTAGATTAAAAAGAATCTATTTTTCTTAGACTCACGAATAGTTATTTTATACTAGAACTATCGACAGTCGTAGTAAAAAATGTCTGTAAATCTTACCTGTACAGCCTCCTCCGTGCTAAGATTGCAGAGAGAATCCTTGAGATGTTCCTGTATCCAGCGAGGCAGCTTGGTGCGCTTGTCCGCGCGACTGAACCGCTTGTCCGCGAATATCATTATACCGTAGTCCGTCTTCCCTCTGAAAATGTACAAATATGAGACAAAATATTTGCAAAAAAACTAGTAACTTAACAGGAAACAAATAATTTGAAATGGAAATATGTAGTTTAGAATGAAGAAACCTAGACAACACAGATCTTATTGATATCCCCATTGATTGATCACTCAATAACGAAAAAAGAAGAACAGAATGACCATGTAATAGGGTATTAGACAGTGTATGAAAATTAAAAATTTAATTAGTCCGTCAGTTAGAAAACTAAAAAATATATACACATTTTTTTTTATTTTGTCGTATAAGAATACAGTATACAATACTTATATAAAACGGAGTTAAGTTTAGGAGTGGGAGGTCGTTACGTCACGCTACCCTATAAAATCGTCACGTCTCACGATATTTCAAATTAATATATCGTCGAAAGTTTGTACAGTCAAAGGTCAAAAGTCCGCTGCCACCGTGAGAGATGTTAACACGGCAATGCGCAAGTAATTTCATATTAATGTGCATAAACACGCGTGCGTACACATAAACACACGCACACGGATACAAATATGCGTGTGTGTGTATAAGCGCTGCAGCGCATCCGATAGTAGTCTTACGGTGGCAGTGGTTTACCTTTAACCGTACAAATTTAATTTTGTAAGAAAAGAAAAAATATGTGTCTAAAGTGGTAAAATAATCTACCAGACTGACATTTAAATAACATATAGGATACTACCCTATTTGTTTTCCTGGATGTCTTAAAACTATTTATTTATATACAACCTGTGAAATTCTATACAGCTATTATATTACTGTATAATATTAACTTACCGCAACGCTCGACCGACGCACTGCGCAGCGTGACGCATCGCGTCGAATGTTAGGAAGTCATTCTCACGGATCTAAAACAAGACGATTATGATATGATAGAGATCAGTCTTGCAAATCTTTAATCTAGGAACGGAGTAAAATTAAAAGTTGAACTTCCCTCCAATTTTAATAGAAGTTTAGGGAACAGAGAGTATAGTTCCCTAAGAACGGAAAAGGAGAATCCTCCGACCAGGCGAGGTGATCGTGCCTGGCGGGCTTTCTGCCCAACAGTTATTCGTTGGGATTTTCTATCCGTGTTAAATCGATTGTAAACTTCGCATGTGCGATGTAGGATTTTATGACGTCATCCGTTGACTTGTGACATGTGTCGCTACAGAAGTAATATTTTTTAAATATCAGTGGAAAGATAAAACTAATGCACCAGTAAAACATTACACTTCTTGCGGTCATTGGGGGAGGCTTATGTCCAGTAGTGGACGTCCTGTGGCTGATATGACGATGATGACTTCTTACGGAATCTTTATTACTTTTCCCAACTTATAGTGCAAGATCAAATGTATTACTAAAGCGTAAAGGGGAACATAGTTTCCATAGTAGTGAACGAGGTACAATGGATGAATGTAAGTTACCTGGAACTGGTCCCTGAGGTAGTCGAGTCGTGCCTTGAGTATGCGGCTCTGCGTGAAGACGTACGGTATGCCGAACATGAGCACGGCGCGGCCGAGATGGTGGTCGAAGTCGACTCCCTCCGACACCTTGCCGCGCGCCACCGACAGCAGCACGGCGCCGCGCCCGCTCTCGCACGCCTGCGACACGACACGTCACTGCACTGCCGAGCGGGCCCAGTCGTTGCGACTGTGACTACTAAGCAAGTAGTCTCGGGCTCGGTTCTCGAATCGAGCAAAATATTACTGGGTGTTTTACGCGTCAAGCGTCCGCATTCCTTATAATCCAACGGGTGCACAAGTGACATTTGGATAAAGTAAGAAAGAAAGAAAGAAAATGCATTTATTTGACCATTGGCACACGAAAACGAGGATCATTACAATAGAAATAAAACAAATACAGTCAAAATAAAAACAAAACATTAATAATAGATTTTATAAAAGATAAAACAGCATGGAGCATTTTTTCTTATGATCCACCGGGTGCTCATAAGGACGCTCGAGGGGTTAATAAATTCTCAGTAGTAGCACGGAGTCTGGAATTGTGCCCGGTATATAGCAATAGGCTCACTCTCTATCTCTATTACACAGATCAACATAAATAATGAAAAGTGGGTGTTACATTATACAGTGGCATTAAGTGCCGTAATGTGCACCACTACCTCGATAAAAGGCGTGATTTTATGAAATATTAGTTCACCACCAAAATAACTTATGTAAAAAAATGCAAATATATCAATCAACCACTTCTGAAACGCAAGTGTACGGCTGTACATTTATACCTTGATATAATTGATGAGAGCGAAACTGGTTTCAGCTGAATCTTGAGTCTCAATAAACAGCAGTTTGTGTCGCTGTAAGCTTGCCACTACGCCTGTAAAAATACCTCAACATTAAACAATATATTTATTATTCATACATTTATCTAAAATTACATTGTTAAATACTACTTTCAAAAACCATAAAAAAAAAATATTTTAAAATATAAAAATAGCATTCGACCAGTAGTGAGAACATGGTCAAAGCTACCGGTGGTTAGGGCTCCAGAGACAGAAACCTCTTCACGATGCGCGTCGATTCAAGGAGAACTTCAAAGTCAAAACATTTATTTCAATTATACCTTAATTACGCACTTTTTAGATAAAGTTAGCAGTCAAGTAGATAAGAAATTACCAGCTGTAGCACTTTACATGGACATGACAAAGGCTTTCGATCGCGTTGATCATAAAATACTCCTAAGTAAACTAAATGCATATGGAATTAGAGGAAACGTACTGAGTCTAATTGAATCCTACCTACATAACAGACGGCAAATGACAGTTATCAGTAGAATCACTAAAGATAGCGAGGTAACTTATAGGTCTGGTCAGAGAACTGTTACTTATGGCGTACCACAAGGTAGTGTCCTTGGCCCAACTCTGTTTATTATTTACTTAAATGACTTTCCAACATCATCAACATATCCAATGACTATGTTTGCAGACGACAGTACCTTACTATTTGATGGTGATGACTTAGAAACATTAGAAGCAGATATAAATATCTGCTAACAGCTATAAGCTAACATTGAATCTGTTGTAAGTTGGTTAAAACATAATAATTTGATCATAAACCTAGATAAGACGGCAATAATGAAATTTGAACAGCGAATGGATCAATACAAAAATTTAATCGTAGAATATCACGGAAAAAGTATTAATGAAACAAATGTAACAAAATTTCTAGGACTAAGTATACAGAAAACATTGAAATGGAATGTTCATATAGATAAGGTGTGTAATAAGTTAAATCAATATTCCTATGCTCTACACATGTTAAATAAAACTGCAAACCGAAAAACAGTGTTGACAGCATACCATGGTCTAGTAGCATCAACATTAAGATATGGAATAATTTTCTGGGGGAATGCAACCGGTAAAGAAATGGTATTCAAGTGTCAAAAAAGATGCATTAGGGCTATTTGTAATCTGCAGTCTACCGACAGCTGCTACACTTTCTTTAAAGACCTCAAAATTTTGACGGTCCCCTCATTATACATTTATGAGACTGGTATGTTCGTTAAAAACAATTTTAATAATTTTGACCGAGTAACCAGTCAACGTCGTTGTGACCAGTTACACTTATTAAAATCTAGAACTGCACTATACAGGTACAGTATCTTTGCAATGGCTCCAAAAATTTATAATAAACTGCCTAAATATATAAGAAACGAAAATAATATTAGAATTTTTAAACGAAAACTGACATTATTTTTAATTGACAAGACATATTATTCTATTGACTTATTTCTTAACGATAAATGACATACCATTCATGATTCTTATATACTTGTTTAATTTAAATATATTAATAATGCTTGGTACCTGCCTAACTTAATAACTATTTGTACACCAATTTTATTGGTAGAACATACCTCTAGAGATGCTATTAATGTATGTTAAACACCCTTCTGTATAACCTGTGTTCACAAATAAATTGATTTGATTTGATTGATTTTGAAACGTCAAAAATTGAAATGTCCGTCCGTCTGTCTGTCAGTGAAGCTAGGCGCTAAGTGACAGACTACCTGCATTCTGTATCAGACCTTTGACCTATCCACCTAACGCCATCCTCCTAAGGTGGTTGTCGAGGCTCTTAAGAATTAATCCATTTGCCCATATTTATTATATTATTACTGCCTATATATTACGACTGCCTCGTTGGCCGAGTGGTCGCAAGTGCAACTGCCTTGCAAAGGGTATCGGGTTCGATTCCCAGGTCGGGCAAAGTATTACTGGATTTTTTAATTCTCAGTAGTAGCACGGAGTCTGGAACCGTGCCCGTTATATGGCAATAGGCTCACCCCCTATTACATGGAACTCATAAGATAAATAGTAAAAAGTGGGTGTTACATCGTACAGTGGCAGTAAGTGCCGTAATGTGCACCTCTGCCTACCCCTTCGAGGATAAATTATATTATTATGAAGTACAACTAAACATGTTTAAAATTAGTATCTTACCTTGATCGTACCACGCCCCGACCACGCTTTCCAAATATAAATACGATGTGAAGAAACATACCACGCCATCAGGTACCGACGCTGAAATCTACAAATTGAATTGATTAAAATGCATACGTTAATCTATTGAGACGAAATACTTAGGCAACGTCGTAGAGAAAAATATGACGTGAAGTTTTGAGAAATGAATTGAGAACATCCTCCATTTTTTAAAAGTTAATTAACTCGTTGAGTACCGTCATTATACACACAAATAAAGAACAATAGGTTGCGGGCACCGGTGATCGCTCGGTGTTTGACAGTTTAATAATAGTTGGATTAATGAAGAATTGTTCCACAATATGATATAAATTCACCTCTACAAGTAATTGTCCATAATTTCTAATCACAGCTACGTCTTCTCTCGTTTCATATTTAGACGATATTGCTACTTGATCACTGCCTTTTGATACAATCTGAAAACAATACAAATTGATTAATTATTATGTTTCCGGCTTACTCACGTAACTGTTTGACGAGGAACTCGACTAGTTTCAAGCCATGCTAGAGGCTCATATTTATGAGCAGCATTCATAGTATAGATATTACTTGTGTTCTCACGTCGATATAAAAATATTTATTTTAGTATTATAAATAAAATTGGAGTGTCTGTTTGTATTATTGGAATAACAGCTTTTTACTACATGCCTAGACAACAATTTTTTTTTGTTTGTCTGTCTGTTTCTGGCAGGTAGGAGGTAGATGATGTACTAAGGAGTAATATAAGCTATTCATTTTGGATATTTTTTTTTAATTTTTTTTTTTTTTGAAACAAAACAAACGTTAGGTATGTCCTAAAACTTATATTCTACGCGGACGAAGTCGCGGACAATAGCTAGTAGTTAAAAAAAGAGTTAAATGCTCTAATAACCACATATATTTTGTGTATAAAATAAATGGTTGACTCACCATAGGTAATATACAAGGCCTGGCTAGAGTCATAGTGAATGAACTCATTATGATTGGGTTGAAATCCAGGATCTTTGGGTACATGTCCAACGGTGATAAGGTCCCTGTACGAACAAAAAACAATGGATTAATGTACAAATGATATAATCGAATCCAATCTGAAACTTATTTAACTGATTTTTAACTTTACTGTTTAGCAATATAGTCGGAAATCTGTTGAAAAAATTCGAGTAGGACAAAATAGAATCAATTATTTGAAGTGATGTATAAGTGATTCATTTGTAGATGTTTTTATAATAACTATCGTAAGACATAGTAAATTAACTAAAAATCGCGGGCTACTCAAGTGAATATACTGAGAAAAGCTCTACTAGTTTCGAACCACAGAGGAGTTCTTCCTCATGAGCAGCGTGCACGGTCGCGGCGATGCAGGCTGCGCGACATCGCCGCGACCTAGTAGAGCTTTTGTCAATATATTGACGTGAGTAACCCGCGATTTTTAGTTCATTTGTAGATACCTGACGTTATAATAACCGATTGGAATCTGGCAAATACTGGCCGCATGGCTATTGATGAATCCATGCACCTGAGAAAAAAATTAAAAAATAATATTTTATACTCACTTAAATTATGTGACTTGCAAGATAATGAAACAATCGTTAGAAAAAGAAAATAGGGAACATTCATCTGGTTTGGTGTTGTAAGCGCGGATGAATTAATTTTGTCTTTCCGGCAGGCAAGTTGCAAATAAGGACGAAATTGATTGCATCAGCCATCGTGCCCTACAACGTGACGGACCGGACGACGGCATCATTTTCTAGAATACACGACACTTTTGTTTCCAACTTCGACCAAGAGTCACTTAATTTAGTAATAATACTTATCTGTTATTTTATTCAATAAATTAGTTGCAATCAATTTCGTCCTTATTTGCAAGTTGCCTGCTGGAAAAACATAATTAACTTATAAACAAGTTGTATTTACAACACACTGCTAGACTGCTACTAACATAATTATATCTGACAATGAGCCTCCTATATTATGAACCCCCTTTTTGAAGACGGTTAAAAATGCCTGCAAATCTTCATAACTAAAACAACCCTAACGAATTTAGATGTTCTTTATCCCTACAAATAATATACTTACGAAAAATGCAAAATTGGGTTGGAGACCGTGGGGGTTTTATCATCAAAGGGTTCTATGATGATGGTAAACCCCTTCGTATAAGTGGAGACGAGAGTAGCCAGGTGTGTGATGAGAGTGAGGGACGCGAAGTTTGAGGGGTCCGGTATCTCCAATGTCTTCATCAGGGATGACAACCGGGTAGCACAGAAACGAAGCGGTTTGCGCTCTATACACACTCGCGCTTGCACGTCTTTTAGGAACCCTGGAATTATAGAGAATGAAAGTTACTACTTATTGCGTATAATGTAGGAGAGCCATGCTAAGTGTGGGAGAGCCAAGCCAAGTGTGGGAGAGCCATGTTTCGGCACGAATGGGCCGGCTCGACCGGAGTGATACCACGGCCTCACAGAAAACCGACGTGAAACAACGCTTGCGAGTGTTTCGTCGTGTGAGTGAGGTTACCGGAGGCGAGGCCCAATACCCCCCCCCCCTTCCTAATCTCCCTAGTCTACCGAATCCCCGAATCCTCCACAATCCTTAAATTCCCAATTCCCAAAAGGCCGGTAACGCACTTGTAACGCCTTGGTGTTTCGGGTGTCCATGGGCAGCGCCGATTGCTTACCATCAGGTGATCCGTCTGCTCGTTTACCGGCTTATGCTATAAAAAAAGACAATTGGCAATGCTGCCAGTCTTTTGAGCACCCTACATTGTGTTTACACACTGCCTTTATGTTATAGAAACTTTCTTTCTAGTTTTTATTTAAAATACCTTCTATATTATTGTATTTTTTTTTAAGAGGGAAAAATCATCGAATTTCTTCTCCCGTCTGGGTGAGGCGGAAGGGAGTGTCAGACTCTTACTGACTAAAAACCACCCCGTTCCTTCTCCTGCACGTCGAGCCGGAGCCCCGGTAACCCGTTAGGTTCTCCGCAAATATTATTGTATTAAGATAGCAATTTTAGTAAAGCATGTTACTCACCGGCGGGAGATTCTTGCACGACATGTTGTATCCTTAGCCTAGTTTTCAAGTACTCTATGAAGCGTTTCAGAAAGCTGAGGAAGTGCTCTGCGTTCCTTATGTTACCGGGTACTACCTCTGTGGGGACAAAAACATACCAACATATTGATTACATTATTATTCAACATAATATTTTTTAGGGATTGCGGGTTTGGGGTTTATTTGTTACTAGCTTTTAGCCGCGGCTTCGCTCTCGTCAGAAAAGGATAAAAAGTAGCCTATGTGACATATACGAATACACACAGCGCCATCTATACCAATAATTTCGTTTTCCCTCTAGAATATCAAATTTTTCCGGGATAAAAAGTACCATTATTTAATCCGGACTTCTAACTTCTGCAAAAATTCAAAGCAAACGGTTTAGTAGTTACGGCGTGAAAACGGGACAAACAAACAAACAAAATCATTTTCCGATTTATAATATTAGTAAGGATAGTAAGGAAGTAAGGATATTCGATTACTCCCATGGCTACATACCGTTTAACACATCGTCGGGTAGTATAGGGTTGCCAAGCACTGCGTCGGTTTCTCTCTGCATGGCAGCGTGACGCAGCCCTTCCACCATCTGCTCATATTCTACTGTCAGCCGAGCTGCGTCTGCTTCACGAATCCTTAACAAATAATTAGCATTTAGACTTCATGTGTGAAATGTCTGAATGAAATGAAATAATTCAGGGTGTGATGTTCCCTGAGGAAAGGGGAAGATCCTAGAGTCAAAGCATTTATTTCAATTACTCCTTAGTTAAGCACTTTTGTAACATCAAAATTGAATTGACTGCACGGTTGGTGCGGTGGCTGGGCAACCGGCTGCCGTGCAACGTGTCGCGGGTTCGATTCCCGCACGGAACAACACTTTGCGTGATCCACAAATTGTTGTTTCGGGTCTGGGTGTCATGTTGTTTGTAAACGCACCCACGACACAGCAGAAAAAGCTAGTGTGGAGCAAAGTTTAAAAAAAATATATCCCCTAATCAATCAGACTTTAATTTTTTTTAGTAAGAGCATGCAGCAGCAGCAGAATAACTGGTATAGCGCTACCTAGTTTTTGACAAAAGAGGAAGTTTAAAGGGAATAAAGACAAATGCGTGTATTTCAAATCTACATTTATAATTTGAAAGCAGTCTCAAATTATAAATCTCTTTAACAACTTGACATTCGCATCGAAAGTAACCATCATGAAACAATATAACATAATGAAATAGACTTTTACTCACTGAGCCACAGTCTTCTCAAGCTGCTGTAGAGCCATAGTGCTTCTATCTATGGTCCTCCGAGTGACCTTCACACTTAACGAGTCTATGCACACATTGTCTATGTTGTGGGCTTCATCAAACACCACTACAGCTTCCCTGTTCATCTCCTTGGACACTACTTCGGCTATCTTTGGGTCTAAGAGATAATGGTACGAGTAGACCACGATCTCAGCATGAATAATCTGATGAAAAATCATATTAAGACCTGTAAAATTATTGTTTTTTAAGGTGTCATTTATGGTAATAGATAACTGGTTAAGATGTAAATGTACATTTTGAAGTATGTCAATAATTGTTTGCATGCCAAGTGAATGTAAAATATGGAGAAACTATGAACTTTGTTAATACCTATATATTATGAACCCATGCTTGCAAATGATTAAATGAATATGAACATGAATAAACTCTTTTACAATATATCATGATTAGATAGAGAATTTCAAACTTACAGCAAACCTAGACAGGAAATACGGACACCAATTTCTGTCGGCGCCATATTGTTTCAGATCGTCCATGGTGTAGACACCGTACGGTAACATCGACTCCTTGCCTTCACGGTTGAAACCTTCGTAGAATTGACCTGGGTGAACAAATATATAACTTTATCAACAGTAGGGCTAAACATTTTAATTTTAAAATTCCGAACTGTGGTATAATTAAGGTTTTTCTCATCCATTTTAAAAACCTTTAGGAACTTCATATTATGCTGTATGGCGTCGAAAGAGATATATTTATTGATTTATCACCACTACTTCATCTCTTCAGTGCAAGTTGACTGTGAGACTACAGATTTAATAGAGCCTAAGCAACAACTTGCTGATAAACCTTTCCCTCATCGGAAAAAGCCCTGTGTGATCATTTATCTATGAATTTTTCTACTAGTTTAGGTTTCTTCAGATTCCTATAAAAATAAATAATATAAATAGACTAACCAAAACCTAGAAGTGTCCGTCAGATCACTTTATATATCGTACCGAAAATTCGCAAAATTTGTTCATACAAAAGTATTCTCTAAACATCGGAAATAAGGTCTATAACAGAGTGAGTGGAGAGTGGCCACCGGTGACTGCTTGGGGATTGATCAGAACGGCAATCATTGACCCTTTGATGTAGATGAGGCTTTTAATGAACCATTAGTGGACTGCCACTGGCTGTTGCAATGAGCACTTTTTACTTAAATTTAGTACCAATAATTGTAAACTAAACAATAAGGCCGATTTTGATTCGGAGTCGCGGAGAACCTAACGGGTAACCGGGGCTCTGGCTCGACGTGCAGGAGAAGGAACGGGGTGGTTTTTAGTCAGTAAGAGTCTAACACTCTCTCCCGCCTCACCCAGGCGGGAGCAGTCACTAGGTGATTTTCCCCGATAAAAACAACCCTTTGGGGTGGTTGAGGCTTTTTATGAACCAATAGTGGACTGGACTGTCACTGGCTTATGCAATAAGAACTTTTTACTTAAATTTAGTATGAATAATTGTAAACTATACAATAGAGATATAGGGTACAAAATACAACATACATATAGGCACTGAGTTGTCAGATTCATGTCTCTCTCTGATGTAGCTTGCAGTGAGTGAGTGGCATTTACCATCCACTAACTTGCCTTCCCTTTCTCTTGAAACCTAGAACAAAATTGCAATTAAAATTACAGTTTAGAAGGCATAGAAGAGTTAGGAGGCTTAAGTCATACTTTTACCCTATGACTATTTGGGTGAACAACAATCTAAACAAAATAACTTTTTTATTGATATAGATGTAGGCAAATGATGTTTGAGGCAAAGGATTGTTGAAATAAAATAAAAAAAAAATAAATAAATTGAAACACTAGATCTCTAGATTTTTTTTGCTCTAGATTTTTTGATCTCTAGATTCAAATCATTGAATGCCAGCATCTATGAGCAGTAGGCCTGGAGATCTGGATGCTATGTATTTGGAAATACAATAACAGCACTTGAGGAAATTCTTGTAGAGCATAGATAAAAAATAAAATAATAATGATGTTGTATTTGTCTATGTTTAGTGCTTACATCAGGATGTATGCAGAGATTCTTCCTGGAGGAGAGCACCACTCCTGTGAGGCTTGGTTTCTCTCCCTGAGACTTCTCATAATACTTTATGAGGTTCTTTAGCTCTTCTAGAACCTTCTCAATCTCTGGCACTGTACGGGAACAGTAGATGAGTTTTCTGAAAGAAGGAAATGTTACATTTAAACTGTCAAACACCAAGCTCCCAAGGTCACTGGTGACCGCAACCTATTTTTCTTTAATTGTGTCTATAAATACGGTACTCGACGAGTTAATGGTATGTTTTCATAAATACTTTTTGGTTCATTTATTTTTAACAATGACCAAATTAAGTACCCTTAATTGATGAGCATGCATGAAAAGTTTAATGAGTGTTGATGAAGCCAAAGAGCTATTTAAACATTTTAGCAATTGGCATTCCATAGTCTGTGTTTACCCCCATGGTCTCCCATGGGGGTTAGCAGGCGTAAGGTAATGTATGTATGGTTCTTTTAAATAATTTTCAATATCATAAATGAAGAAGAGAAGTGAGATTCTCAGTTTCTTCAATATTTAAAGACTTCTATTATTTTATTAAAAGCAATCAATTATTGATTATTGATCTTTATAGTATAAAATTTAAGGTACCTATGTCATTGTTTGGAACACAGCATTTTCGGCAGAATCAATTACATTCAAAGATGTGGAAGATGAGAAAGTATAATGTAAATGAGACATAGTTACCTGACATGATGAGGATTCTGTATCATGTATGCTACAATTAGAGATAAAAGGGATATGGTCTTCCCTGTTCCTGATGGCATTTCCAGTAGTCCATGGCCCTAGAACACAACAAAATATTATGTATAAGTTAGAAAGCGGCTATTGTAAAAATACTTGCGGGTTGCGGCAATAGTCAATACAAAACAATAGCTTACTTTAGCATCTAGAGCTCGTTTCAACTCCAACATATACGCATACTGCTCAGGGTAAATGTAATCATAAGGGAAATAAACAAGAAGACCGTCCACTGTTAGCCTGCAAACGAATTCAAAACAGTTACATACAACATAAACATAACCTCAAACTACAAGACTGTTGTAATTTTACGTCTACAAACTTAATTAACTTACTTCATGACTGTAGTTTAACTTTAATTCATGAAGTAATTACTAAAATATTAATTAATATTTTTAATTTCTCTAAAAAATGAACAAGTAACGACAAGCTTCGGATCTCTTTGTGACACAAATGTCAATGTCATTGTCTAACGTCAAATCCGCAGATAATGACATTCTTTTCTGTAGTTCGGAAATGTGATTGAAAATCTTTAAATAAACCATGATGATTTGATTGAAAACTAAAATTAAATGCACAAGCTGTTATTTTTAATTAGAAACTTTAGTTACAGCATATGTATAACGCAATTTTAAGTAAAAAAAATATTTTTATGTTTATTTTTTGAGTAAAATAATGGCCTTCGACGATTCAACTTATGTCAAATCGTCAACAAACAACAAATATGGCTGCAGAGTAGAGTTGGCGTCTTTCATAAAATTAGACGTTCTATGCGTATTTTATTTTTCAATACCAGATAATGTGTAGTAATTTATGATTATTAACATAAAATGGAATATATATCAGTAAACTTTCTCTATTTGTGGGGTGCTCGAAACGTTTTGTGTCCGTTTTCAAATAATGGAACAAATTCCTAGAAGTTCTAATATTTTATAACTCTATCGTCCGGATCGCCGCGAATCTATGAAACTCAATTTGGGTCTATTGGACGAAATATTATTATAAGATGGATTTCGTACAAGTGTGTCGTATTTGTTCAGCTATGGACGTGAAAATGCACGATCTACGATTGTTTCCTCTGAATTCGTTCTACGACTTTGTAATCGGAACCAATGTAAGTTGATTTTTTTTGTTTACATTTTTATGGACTAAAACTGAAAAGTAAACAACGATTGTTAACTTGCCTCACGTTCTATAGTGACTACTACAAAATCAATATACTCATGTTTTATACATTTTACATTGCAGAAACTACTAAATATGTAATATATACCTTTTTTATCATTTTTATTTATTTGATTCCAGCCTCTTAACTGCAACTTGCCACCCTATGCTTGCTTTGAGTGTGCAGCTCTTGTGAAGAAATTTTACAATTTTAGGCAGAAATGTTTACGGAATCAAGATGTTCTCAATGGGATAACAGATATTTATGGGAAGGTTTGTAAACTTTTTTCAGAATCTCTGTTTTAACCTGAGGTGTATCGGAACAGAGCTATGCAAGATACAATGTATTTCCTATAGTGATTCAAGTTGGTAAATTACCAGACTGCTATCTTTTTATGGTTCCAATAATAATTATTTAGGTATGTTTCTATGAATCAAGTTTTTAACTCTATTGTCTTACATTTCAGTTGAACCCAGCTGAAGTCAGAGCAATCAACAGAAAAGAATTTAATATCTCGTCAAATCTCATCATCACTCGTCTAGAGAGCATAGATACAACATGCAACATAACCAGTAATGAGTTTGTAAAAATAGAACCGGAAGATTGTGAGGATGATAAAGTTAAAGTAGAGGACCATAACTATGCAAGCATAGACCAGATAGAGCATAGTGTCTCGAGTGATGATGATGAACCTCTTTCAATACATAAAGAGAAAAAGCTTAAAAATAAAGAATCTGATGAGGATATGTTTGAAAATAACTTTGATTGTGACGAAGTGAGTAGAGAAAAAATCTAAATTCTATACATACATAAGTATAATAAAATCGTAGAAAGGTCAAAACTGTACATTGAATACTTTTTTAAAACAATACTTGGGGCATAATCCAATTGATACCGAAACCAAAAATATAGTTTTTAGAATTTTCGTCTGTTTGTCTGTATGTATGTCCGGGCTAAAATAAAAAAATACTGCATATATTTACTTCAAATTTTGCATAAATATTACAAATAGGTCAGGTCAATATATATATAGGCTACTTATAATAACGCTATCACCTACGGGAGAGAAGCTGTGAAGAACTATCCAAAGCCACTATTCCACGCAGACAAAGTCTAAGGGCATCTACTAGAGTTTAATAAATTTCATAAATAATTATTACCTAATCCCGAGCAGTTTCACCCGCTCTGCTCGTCTCCTATTGATCTTAGTGTGATGTTTTACAGCCTATAAGCTTCTTTGGTAAATGCACCATCCAACTCAAAAAGAATTATTCACATCGGACCAGTAGTTACACAAATATTTTGTGTACACTAACTTGCTTGCTGAAGCAGTTTTCATTTATGTAGTAAAACATTGTTTACAGTTTGGAGCAGCTGTGGATGAAGGGAATTCAGTAGATGCTGTAGAAGAAAAGAAAGTTAAAAAGCTGAAAAAGAAACATCGTAAAAATGGTAGAAGTGGTGCTTTCAAGCATGTCAAAATGTTGTCAAACCCCAGTTTGTCTGCAGAGAACATGGATGATTTTGATCAATACATTACTGTTATAACACTGACGGTATGTGATATTTTATTAATAAATTCCCATTCTTTAGCATATTATATTTCACCACTCCATTGAGCGAAAGTTAAATAATTTTAGGTGCACAATACCTACAAAAGCTTCTGTAAAAATAATCTAGATGCAAACCTTAATACATAAATTAGAGCTAGAAACTTCTCAATGAATATACTTACTTTTAGGTGGAAGAGCAGAAAACAGAAGTAATGAAAAGAAAGGAGTCTTCAAACTACTTAAATTCTCCATACCAGTGCAATCTATGCTACAAAGGGTTCATTGATAATAATGCTTGGAATCATCATGTTAGCAAACATTCAGAGGTAATAAATTGTCTATTTCTGCTTACCTATATCTTTTTCATTTCCATTCTGATTTTTTCAACTTACATTTTCTCTTTCTTCTAGGCTGCAGGCAGCTTAGAGTGTGATGTTTGTAAATTTCGGTTCAAAACAAAGCGTGCTTATCAAAAACATGCATCTGGTCATGAAAAGAGATATGCTTGTAAATCCTGCCCTTATGTTTCAACCAATACGTGAGTATATCATTATTTTTGGGACAGAAAAGGATTTTTATAGGACATACTATTCCCATAAAATCTAAGTACAAAATGTATTGGACCCAAAATGCGTCCTTGAGGCATTCCTTAAGATTATCTCGTGCATTAACTATATTTTCCACTTATGGATACTATATTTCACTTAATATTTTCTTTGTGAAGTTTAGGTTAGGGGCCAAATAAAGGCCAGGGGATAATAATTGTAGCTTTTTTAAATTTATTTAGATGTAGTGTCATTCTTAAATACAAAATAGCGATCGAAAGCTTTAGATGAGTTGTAGAATACTATGATTTTATTTGAATAAGGTATATCTTTTTTCAGGACACAAGCAAAACAGCATCAAGGATGGCATAAAGGAGTAACATTCAAGTGCAAATATTGCAACGAAATTTTCAAGTGAGTGTCCTATAAATCATACTTTATTTATGAGAACAAATTCATACTTGTTTATCTGTAATTCTGTATAATTAAAAATAATCGACATATTTATGAACACTTAGCTTTAAGACTCATAAAATGGAAAAATAACGATTATACGTATGTTTCAAGTGTATGGACATCGTACATGAGTCACACTCGCATCAAACACCCGTCGGAGTTCATCTGCGGTATCTGTGGATACTCGTTCATCAGTAAACTAGGACTCGCCATGCACAAGACTATGATGCATAAAGATGTTTTGGTAAATTATTTCCTTAATTTCCATTACTTTTAAAGTTCTTTGTTCAATGCAACCATTGTATTTATATTTGGTAGATAGCAGTACTAACTAAATAAGTCCCTTTTCAGTGAAATACCTTCATAATGTTGTTTTCCCTTTATTACCTCTGCATTCACTGGAGTTATTCATATGCTTATTTTCAGGAGAAACCAGAAGAGAATACAGAAGACGGTCCATACTGCGCGGAGTGCGACGTGAAGTTTGTATCGAGCGTAGCGTACAAACGGCACATGGTCATGTCGGTCAAACACACGCAGAGCACGGACTCTATGTAAGTGGATATAAGGATTACTTTAGCTTGACATTACTGCACGGAGTGCGACGTGAAGTTTGTTACAAGCGGCACATGGTCATGTCGGTCAAACACACGCAGAGCACGGACTCTATGTAAGTGGATATAAGGATTACTTTAGTTTGACATTGCTGCGCGGAGTGCGACGTGAAGTTTGTTTACACAGAATTAAATTTTAACTCAAAAATTAAATTTTATCTCAACAGTAAAGGTTGTCGTACATGCGGCGCGACGTTCGAGAACGCGGAAAGTTTGCGCCACCATCACCGCAAGGAACATACGAGGAAGCGACCCAAGAACTATGGAAAGAAACCCACCACTGGGAACTGGCCCGCTAAGTGTGAACATGTACGTTTTAGGTTTGACCTACCCTTACCTTTTGTGTGTTTCAATGGTTTTCCTATTTTATTTTCGTTAATAAGTAGGTGTGTTCAATCAGATGACGAGATATATTATACTAGTTTATGATATTGGTTTTATAAATAAATAAAATTCGTTTTAATGTAATTTGGATTTGGAGAGCTAAAGAACAAATCATTGCATGAATAATGAATCTACCATTAGTTTGCATAGCTCCTCATAGGTTCTATCAATGTATTATTCCTTATTTGTCAGTGTGAGGAAGAGATCCCCAGCGCCCGTGAGTACTGGACCCACTTCCGTCGCGTCCACCCGGATAAACCATACCCCGTGGAAAAGAACCACGTCTGTGATATATGTGGGAAGAGTTTTCGGGTAAGTCACTATTTTATGGCATAGTAAAGCAAACGAGCAAATTAATCACCTGATGGTAAGCAAACCGTGCCACCAACGGCCCTCATCTAGTAATTCAAGTAAAACACAAGTGTGACCCCGCAGGGCAACGCGTTCCTAGTGTACCACAAGCGCACGCACTCCGCGGAGCGCGCGTACTCGTGCGGCCAGTGCGGCAAGTAAAACACAAGTGTGACCCCGCAGGGCAACGCGTTCCTAGTGTACCACAAGCGCACGCACTCCGCGGAGCGCGCGTACTCGTGCGGCCAGTGCGGCAAGTAAAACACAAGTGTGACCCCGCAGGGCAACGCGTTCCTAGTGTACCACAAGCGCACGCACTCCGCGGAGCGCGCGTACTCGTGCGGCCAGTGCGGCAAGTAAAACACAAGTGTGACCCCGCAGGGCAACGCGTTCCTAGTGTACCACAAGCGCACGCACTCCGCGGAGCGCGCGTACTCGTGCGGCCAGTGCGGCAAGTAAAACACAAGTGTGACCCCGCAGGGCAACGCGTTCCTAGTGTACCACAAGCGCACGCACTCCGCGGAGCGCGCGTACTCGTGCGGCCAGTGCGGCAAGTAAAACACAAGTGTGACCCCGCAGGGCAACGCGTTCCTAGTGTACCACAAGCGCACGCACTCCGCGGAGCGCGCGTACTCGTGCGGCCAGTGCGGCAAGTAAAACACAAGTGTGACCCCGCAGGGCAACGCGTTCCTAGTGTACCACAAGCGCACGCACTCCGCGGAGCGCGCGTACTCGTGCGGCCAGTGCGGCAAGTAAAACACAAGTGTGACCCGCAGGGCAACGCGTTCCTAGTGTACCACAAGCGCACGCACTCCGCGGAGCGCGCGTACTCGTGCGGCCAGTGCGGCAAGTAAAACACAAGTGTGACCCCGCAGGGCAACGCGTTCCTAGTGTACCACAAGCGCACGCACTCCGCGGAGCGCGCGTACTCGTGCGGCCAGTGCGGCAAGTAAAACACAAGTGTGACCCCGCAGGGCAACGCGTTCCTAGTGTACCACAAGCGCACGCACTCCGCGGAGCGCGCGTACTCGTGCGGCCAGTGCGGCAAGTAAAACACAAGTGTGACCCCGCAGGGCAACGCGTTCCTAGTGTACCACAAGCGCACGCACTCCGCGGAGCGCGCGTACTCGTGCGGCCAGTGCGGCAAGTAAAACACAAGTGTGACCCCGCAGGGCAACGCGTTCCTAGTGTACCACAAGCGCACGCACTCCGCGGAGCGCGCGTACTCGTGCGGCCAGTGCGGCAAGTAAAACACAAGTGTGACCCCGCAGGGCAACGCGTTCCTAGTGTACCACAAGCGCACGCACTCCGCGGAGCGCGCGTACTCGTGCGGCCAGTGCGGCAAGTAAAACACAAGTGTGACCCCGCAGGGCAACGCGTTCCTAGTGTACCACAAGCGCACGCACTCCGCGGAGCGCGCGTACTCGTGCGGCCAGTGCGGCAAGTAAAACACAAGTGTGACCCCGCAGGGCAACGCGTTCCTAGTGTACCACAAGCGCACGCACTCCGCGGAGCGCGCGTACTCGTGCGGCCAGTGCGGCAAGTAAAACACAAGTGTGACCCCGCAGGGCAACGCGTTCCTAGTGTACCACAAGCGCACGCACTCCGCGGAGCGCGCGTACTCGTGCGGCCAGTGCGGCAAGTAAAACACAAGTGTGACCCCGCAGGGCAACGCGTTCCTAGTGTACCACAAGCGCACGCACTCCGCGGAGCGCGCGTACTCGTGCGGCCAGTGCGGCAAGTAAAACACAAGTGTGACCCCGCAGGGCAACGCGTTCCTAGTGTACCACAAGCGCACGCACTCCGCGGAGCGCGCGTACTCGTGCGGCCAGTGCGGCAAGTAAAACACAAGTGTGACCCCGCAGGGCAACGCGTTCCTAGTGTACCACAAGCGCACGCACTCCGCGGAGCGCGCGTACTCGTGCGGCCAGTGCGGCAAGTAAAACACAAGTGTGACCCCGCAGGGCAACGCGTTCCTAGTGTACCACAAGCGCACGCACTCCGCGGAGCGCGCGTACTCGTGCGGCCAGTGCGGCAAGTAAAACACAAGTGTGACCCCGCAGGGCAACGCGTTCCTAGTGTACCACAAGCGCACGCACTCCGCGGAGCGCGCGTACTCGTGCGGCCAGTGCGGCAAGTAAAACACAAGTGTGACCCCGCAGGGCAACGCGTTCCTAGTGTACCACAAGCGCACGCACTCCGCGGAGCGCGCGTACTCGTGCGGCCAGTGCGGCAAGTAAAACACAAGTGTGACCCCGCAGGGCAACGCGTTCCTAGTGTACCACAAGCGCACGCACTCCGCGGAGCGCGCGTACTCGTGCGGCCAGTGCGGCAAGTAAAACACAAGTGTGACCCGCAGGGCAACGCGTTCCTAGTGTACCACAAGCGCACGCACTCCGCGGAGCGCGCGTACTCGTGCGGCCAGTGCGGCAAGTAAAACACAAGTGTGACCCCGCAGGGCAACGCGTTCCTAGTGTACCACAAGCGCACGCACTCCGCGGAGCGCGCGTACTCGTGCGGCCAGTGCGGCAAGTAAAACACAAGTGTGACCCCGCAGGGCAACGCGTTCCTAGTGTACCACAAGCGCACGCACTCCGCGGAGCGCGCGTACTCGTGCGGCCAGTGCGGCAAGTAAAACACAAGTGTGACCCCGCAGGGCAACGCGTTCCTAGTGTACCACAAGCGCACGCACTCCGCGGAGCGCGCGTACTCGTGCGGCCAGTGCGGCAAGTAAAACACAAGTGTGACCCCGCAGGGCAACGCGTTCCTAGTGTACCACAAGCGCACGCACTCCGCGGAGCGCGCGTACTCGTGCGGCCAGTGCGGCAAGTAAAACACAAGTGTGACCCCGCAGGGCAACGCGTTCCTAGTGTACCACAAGCGCACGCACTCCGCGGAGCGCGCGTACTCGTGCGGCCAGTGCGGCAAGTAAAACACAAGTGTGACCCCGCAGGGCAACGCGTTCCTAGTGTACCACAAGCGCACGCACTCCGCGGAGCGCGCGTACTCGTGCGGCCAGTGCGGCAAGTAAAACACAAGTGTGACCCGCAGGGCAACGCGTTCCTAGTGTACCACAAGCGCACGCACTCCGCGGAGCGCGCGTACTCGTGCGGCCAGTGCGGCAAGTAAAACACAAGTGTGACCCCGCAGGGCAACGCGTTCCTAGTGTACCACAAGCGCACGCACTCCGCGGAGCGCGCGTACTCGTGCGGCCAGTGCGGCAAGTAAAACACAAGTGTGACCCCGCAGGGCAACGCGTTCCTAGTGTACCACAAGCGCACGCACTCCGCGGAGCGCGCGTACTCGTGCGGCCAGTGCGGCAAGTAAAACACAAGTGTGACCCCGCAGGGCAACGCGTTCCTAGTGTACCACAAGCGCACGCACTCCGCGGAGCGCGCGTACTCGTGCGGCCAGTGCGGCAAGTAAAACACAAGTGTGACCCCGCAGGGCAACGCGTTCCTAGTGTACCACAAGCGCACGCACTCCGCGGAGCGCGCGTACTCGTGCGGCCAGTGCGGCAAGTAAAACACAAGTGTGACCCCGCAGGGCAACGCGTTCCTAGTGTACCACAAGCGCACGCACTCCGCGGAGCGCGCGTACTCGTGCGGCCAGTGCGGCAAGTAAAACACAAGTGTGACCCCGCAGGGCAACGCGTTCCTAGTGTACCACAAGCGCACGCACTCCGCGGAGCGCGCGTACTCGTGCGGCCAGTGCGGCAAGTAAAACACAAGTGTGACCCCGCAGGGCAACGCGTTCCTAGTGTACCACAAGCGCACGCACTCCGCGGAGCGCGCGTACTCGTGCGGCCAGTGCGGCAAGTAAAACACAAGTGTGACCCCGCAGGGCAACGCGTTCCTAGTGTACCACAAGCGCACGCACTCCGCGGAGCGCGCGTACTCGTGCGGCCAGTGCGGCAAGTAAAACACAAGTGTGACCCCGCAGGGCAACGCGTTCCTAGTGTACCACAAGCGCACACACTCCGCGGAGCGCGCGTACTCGTGCGGCCAGTGCGGCAAGTAAAACACAAGTGTGACCCCGCAGGGCAACGCGTTCCTAGTGTACCACAAGCGCACGCACTCCGCGGAGCGCGCGTACTCGTGCGGCCAGTGCGGCAAGTAAAACACAAGTGTGACCCCGCAGGGCAACGCGTTCCTAGTGTACCACAAGCGCACGCACTCCGCGGAGCGCGCGTACTCGTGCGGCCAGTGCGGCAAGTAAAACACAAGTGTGACCCCGCAGGGCAACGCGTTCCTAGTGTACCACAAGCGCACACACTCCGCGGAGCGCGCGTACTCGTGCGGCCAGTGCGGCAAGTAAAACACAAGTGTGACCCCGCAGGGCAACGCGTTCCTAGTGTACCACAAGCGCACGCACTCCGCGGAGCGCGCGTACTCGTGCGGCCAGTGCGGCAAGTCGTTCTACAACCGCAGCAACCTGCACGTGCACGAGAAGACCCACTCCGCCGCGCGGCCCTACCCCTGCACCGTGTGCACGCGCGCCTTCAAGTCCAAGGGGGCACTCAGCAGGCATTTTAGGGTAAGTAGTCGTTTTTGTGACACTAGCTGATTATATTTGTATTAGTTATCTACCCCAGTAGTGTAAACGCAGCATAATACATTTAAACGGACCACTGCGCGGGGGCGACGGGCGAGAGAAACACGCGCCAGCGCCACCGCCGCGCTGGCAGTCAGATATACCAGGATCTACTGCGCACACGCATTCCGTCTCCGCACATATTGTAGTTACCGCGCTCCTCAATAATTATGTAATATTTTTACCTCAAGTCTTACACAAACAATAAATAAATATTTAATGGCAGTCAGCGGTTCAAGACGGACATTATTACTAAACATTTTTGATGCATTTTAATTACTATTCTTAGAACAGAAGTAAAAAATTCTAATAGGTGCTGTGAAAATCTGACCACCCACTCTTGAGTTTCAAATGAAATTATAATTCTAAATGATTTCTAGAAACAATGTTTTTGGACTGGTATCTGTGACTAGAATAACCCGACAAACCGTTAATTCGCTAGTGACTTCAACATTTCAGTTGTTTATCGAGCAATTCTTGTATCACATTTAGAGAGGCAGAATGTTTATTTATTTATTTATATTTATAATTCATGGAGGACTTACAGCTTATAAAAATGGATAAAAATAACAATAGGCGTAGGTAACAATGAGCCAATAACAAGTCACTCACGTTTATGATTTGAAATAAATTAATTAATATGGTGTGAGTACCATACAATATTAAAAATACATACATTCTGCATAAATGAGAAAAATAAATATTGAAACGGATCGTACAGACAATATGATTATAAACAGATCAAGAGAAACGATAAAAAGAACTAAATATCTAGTGCTGCTTAAAAAATTTGAGGCTTAAGCACCTCTTTAAGTGCCGTAATGTGTACCTCTGCCTAGAGGCGGGATGTTATGTTATTATAATCAACTTATTTATCTTCTTCACTTTCAGACGCACACAGGTCAAAAGCCCTATGAATGCGAAGTATGTGGTAAAGGGTTCTCACAGTCCAACAGTAGGAAGCTACACGTTAGAACTGTACACCTCAAGCAACCAGCTCCATACATCAGTCGGAGTCGGTTGGAGAGACGCAAGCAGGAACAGAAGGAACCCACCAATGAATTTATATTCTAAGATATAATTAGAAAAAGATAGAAAGTGAAGGGTATGAAAGGGCATTGACTAAAATTGGTGCCTTCCTTTTTTTTTGTCGGCAGTCGATGATTTATGGAAATGTTATATAAAAAAAACAATACGCTCACCCCCTATTACATGGGACTCATAACATAAATAGTGAAAAGTGGGTGTTACATTGTACAGTGGCATTAAGTGCCGAAATGTGCACCTCTGCCTACCCCTTCGGGGATAAAAAGGCTGTTATGTTATATAAAATGACATTACAAATGAAATTGTCAATAAGCTCATATATGGAAATCTCAGTCTGGACCGAGTTATAAGCGTTGAAAGGAGCCGGAGTCAAACATTGTATTTTGGTTTTTTTTATTCAAATTATTCATATTTTTGTCACAATTCCTAACTTCAAATTGCGCACCACTGTACGCCGGGCACAGAAACACCATATCACACTACAGTTCAAATTTTTATTACCTATTTTCTCTCAGTCGATAACTTGTAAGATGCTTCTAGGAGTCGTGCCATGAAGCTTCATGAGCGTCAGCTATGGTACCAGTGGTGGGTTGAGTAGTGGTAGCCGTCCAAACATGTAATAAAGTATTTTTTTGCCCTTGACAGTTTTAAAGTTAAAGTTCTACTTTAAAGTTAGCATAATCTTTTGAAGAAACGTTCCTTAGTACGAGTTTGTAAGACGTACGTTTGATATAACGAATCTAAGACGTAATTAATAATTTTACGATCTGTGAAAATCTCATGAAAAACAACGAATGAAAACAGATTCCTAATTTTGTAAACAACGGTAAATTCGCATTGTAAGTGCTGTGATTCATGTCTACTAATATGTGGTAAATACAGTCAAAAGTACCTTTTACATTCGGTAGGTCTATACTATGATGAATGATATAGAAAATTAACAAAATAAATAATTTAAGCAATTAATTAAAACTTATTTTACATAACGATGTAAGCTGTGCATAATAGAAACACCGAACTAGTAGTTGAAATTAAAATTAGAATAAAAACAAGACTATTTATAAATATGTATTATGTAGTATTATTTAGTCTACCGTAAATTGTAGTTTTTAGATTTTGCTCAGCAGATGGCGCTAAAGTACCGCAAGATCTGTTTCTGTTTGTCCAATCACTGTAAGTCTCGAAAATGTAACGTCCAATAGCTTGCCACTAAGTAATTTTCAGTATTTTTTTTTATTTTAGCGCCATCTAGTGAATAAAAGAGGTAGCTCTCGTTGATGTACCAACACGGTAAAATTTTAATTGAAAGTAGTTTTAATATTTTTATACAATTTAAATAGTAAATTACCTTATGACCTAGATATGTATAGTATGTATACATTTAATTAGGGCTCGCATCGAGCCTTTTTAGAGGAGACATGCAATATAGAATGACCTATAGGTACAGCAGGTATCTATCTGTCAGTTGTTTTATTCGATTTTCAACTATATGATTAAAACAATAAAGGTGAAAATGTAATAAAAAAGAAAGGAGTAGGTTTATCTGCTGGCTACTACATTTAGGTATAAGCAATGGCCATAATATCAAAAATAAATAATAGGATACTTGCCTTAGCCTTAGTTCCATAGTTAAAACATATTTTATTAATTTTTGTATAATAAATAAATAGCACCGCCTATTTAGAGATTCATGCATTTATTTATTTAACAGTTCATTGTAGATTTTTTTATAAAACCACAAGTATGGCTTTGGCGTAGCATGTCATAATGTTATTGAAGTCTTGCATACAGCAAAAGTTATTTATTTTTCTGTAATTCGCTTTCAATGAAGTTTATCATTATACAGTTACTTTATTTACTGGCAAAGAATGCCTGTTTGTGCAGCTATTGATGCATAATATTATGTTGTATTTCTATGCTCATGTTGTAAAACATTTTATTTAAAAAATCTTATTGTGTTAACCAAGCCTAATGTTATTTAGATACATGGTAGGTATAGTGCCAGTTACTTTTATTTATCTGAGGAAAGTATAAGTTGTGATCATAATTGAAATGATAATTTTATTTATATTTATGTGCTTTACAATAAAAATATGGTTAAGGACATACTATTTTGTTTCATTATAATTATTGTCCCAATCGTCTTCCTACTATCTGCACCAAAAGTGACAAGATTTTAAATTAAAAAAAGGAAGGAAGAAAATGTTACCATCATGTAATATATTTTACTTAAGAAGCGCAAGGCCACAGTCAGACACGTTGGCTGGTTCGAAGAGGCTGAGGCGTATTGCTTATTAAACTGCAACCTGCAATATAGTCGAAGTCTGGCACTTCAAATTGCCACTCTGATGTGGCCCATCCGATAATGAATTTTAAAATTGTGCTCACTGCCACAGAATACCCTCTGCTCGCCAGTTATGTTATGAGTATCATGTATCATGTCATCAGACCACCACAGATGGGTCCCAGTATTGCTGACACCCGACCTGGCGCTGCTGATAGCCTAGCGGGTTACTGGATCCAGCTCGAAGCAGAAGTACAAAAGGGTGGTTTTTAGTCAGTAAGAGTGTTGTGTTTGTACTTTAAATAAAATACTTTGATAGAAGAAAAATATGTGTCATTTTAGATGACCTAAGAATCATGTGTTGTCTGATAATTCTTCATAAAGGCGAAGATTGTTTCAATCTTTTAATCAAGGCGGATCATAGGCGGATACATACTAACAAAGAGTCTTAACACTCTCTCACCTTAGCCAAGGCGGGAGGAGGTAAGAAAAAAACTAGTGTCATGTACAAAAAGTTTACTAGATTCAATGAGCAGAATTGAATTCTATGAATTAGATGGACTTAGATTCTATTCGAATCAGACGTTTTTTTTTAACTTTTTTTATTTCAACATTTATTTTTTTTTGTTTTAAAAACGTGCTAAACAAGCCTCGTAAACGTAGTTTGGAATGCTTCTCACGTCACATCAGCTGATTCTAATGTCAACAATTTCAAAATAAACTTCTGTCAAGTGAAGTTACTTTGACTTCTTGATAACAGATATCGTGTTATTTCATTGATAATACGAAGAATACATATACACTGAGATCGGATTGTTAATATCTTAGTTCTATAACACGAATCATGTTCAAAAGAGGTAAACAACTGATTGTATAGTTAAAAGTTGTAACGTGTAAACTGTGAATATGTCCGCGTCTACATCTGCTACCGATGCCGTGCATCCCCGGTTTTTAGAGAAACCTGTCGTTAATGTTGGCGTTGGTGGTACAGTATCCCAGTTAATTCTTAAACATTCTTGTAGACCTTTCTACTCCTACTTCTACTAACTCGTTTCTTCATAAAAAGTAAGGTTAACTAACTCCATGTTTTCCAATTCACTGCAAGTAAATAATAGATCAATAACATCCTATCTGCTATGAAACTAATAAAGTGAAATATCTAAATGAAGATTTGGCTTAATGTTTTAGAGTTCGCTTTAAATTATCATTAGGCTATGATAACCTTTGAATTAATATTCAAAGAAAAATAAACCTAAAATCAGTGTGTTAAAGATATTTTTACTTTGTACGAAGTGATTTATGGGTGCATTTACAGTGTATCCTCACACTCCAAACAACACTAGTATGATAATTCCTTTAAAGTGGTATAATATATTATGCAAACAAGCACTTAGCTCCTTATCAATATAGAAAGCATAGTGGCATATAAAACTGTATTATTTTCTATAACATGCAATAAAAATGATGGTTATTTTTTTAAGAAACATTCTGCATACCTATTACCTATAGTAACATTTTAATAAAAGACTAATGTATCTTTTTTAGTTTCAGTGCCCTTGATATCTCCAGCCAAAAAATATTTGTACAAGTCTATGATTGCTCGATTCGGCTCTCAATATTGTTGTTGTATGACATGTAAATGATTTATTCTTTTTTAATGTCATTTTGTAGGCTTCTTTAAACTCACCACCAGTTATAATAACACTTATTCATATTTTTCTCGTCAGTTGTTATAATTGGAGTGTAATTTCATCAGCATATAAGTAACTAAATAAAAATAATAATAACCTCTAAGTAGTATAAGTAATTCAACAGAAATAGCTTTTAGTTGTCAAGTAATTTGGTCTTTGGTTATCTTTATTATATATAATAGTATTAAATATTTTTTGTTTGTATTCTAAAACATTTACACACATTAAGTACTTCAAACTGACTTTGTTTAATAGATTATCAACTTTATATCTTTCTAATAAAGGTGAAATTCGGATGAAGATTGGGTTAGCCTGATGTGCTGTTGTCCCTACAAGACATAAACAAGATATTTATATTCCAGGTTTGAAAGTAGTGCTTGTCCAGTTGGCAGTGGGGATGGACAAGCACCAAAATGTAACAGAAGCAGTGAAACAGATACACCTAGCCAAAGCAAATGGAGCTCACCTTGTGGCACTGCCGGAGTTCTTCAATGCACCTTATGGCACTAGTAAGTTTTAATCAAAATCATCAGCTCATGCAGGCGTTTCTGTCTACATATCCTGAGATAAACTAAAGGTTTCTAAAAAACAAAATGTGTAGCTCACTGTCCCCTTCTTGAGGAGGACAAAGCTACATTTTATTTTAAAGTGTGGGAGAGCCATGCTTCGGCACGAATGGGTTGGCTCGACCGGAGTGCCATACCACGGCCTCACAGAAAACCGACGTGAAGCAACGCTTGCGTTGTGTTTCGTCGTGTGAGTGAGGTTACCGGAGGCCCAATTACCCTCCCTTCCCCCAATCTCCCCAATCCCTGAATCCCCAACGATCCTCAAACTCCTAATCCCCAAAAAGCCGGTAACGCACTTGTAACGCCTCTGGTGTTCCAGGGGCGACACCGATTGCTTACCATCAGGTGATCCGTCTGCTCGTTTACCGGCTTATGCCATAATAAAAAATAAAATTGCACCAGTTATGTCCATTGTGATATGAGATGTTGAGAACAAAACGGTTGGATTAAATTTTACTGTAGTCAATATTAAGACTAAGCGACTATACATTTGGGAGACCAATGTAAGGTAAGACTTCACAGTTGGCGTAGTAGTTGGGCAACTGACTGTCGCGCAACGTGTCGCGGGTTCGATTCCCGCACGGAACAACTCTGTGTGATCCACAGATTGTTGTTCCGGGTCTGGGTGTCATGTGTATGTGGAATTGTATGTTTGCAACGCACCCACGACACAGGAGAAAATCTTAGTGTTGGGCAATGTTTCTAACAAAAAAAAATAAAAATAAATAAAATAAAGATGTACCTAATATCATGTTTGGCGTCAAATTAAAACAATTAAATAGTGTAACAACAAAATTATATTTCAATGTAAAGTGTCTGTATCGCAGTCAGTCCTATGGAGAACAAACAAACGCCATGTCTGTTTGTCTGTCACAGATTATTCATCATAGTCTAATATCTATAGAGTATAATATTAAAGATAAGATAAAGATAAAGATATTTTATTTCGCAAATATGGGTACATATCATGGTAGTACATAATAAAAAATACAGAAACAGCCATATTTTGCCAATTATAAGGCATGCAAAAGTTTTACACATTTTACAATTCAAGACAATAATTCTAAATAATGTCATTCAATTTATAAATAATTCCAATAATATTGTTTGTAATGTCGTGGTGGCCAGGAGGTTTAGGACGCCCGCTTCTCATGCATGAGGGTACAGCTTGAAACCTTCCAACGGCAAGTACCAATGTGACTTTTTCCGAGTTATATGTACTTTTTAAGATTATCTAGACACCACTGACAAACGGTGAAGAAAAACATCGTGAGAAAACCTGGACTTATAATTCCTAATTATAAGTTTGTAATCGCCAAACCGCATTGAGCAAGCGTGGTGATTAAAGCTCAAACCTTCTCCGTGTGAGAAGACGCCTTGCTTAACAATGATAATATTGTTTTACAGAGTACTTTGCCAAATATGCGGAGAGCGTGCCAGACGGTGAGTCCTGCCTCGCCCTAAAGCGGGCGGCGCAGGAGGCCGGCGTGTATGTAGTGGGAGGCACTATGCCCGAGCGATGCGGGGACAAACTGTACAATACTTGCACTGTGTGGGACTGTGCTGGGGATCTCGTTGCGCAACACAGGAAGGTAAGAAAGACCTGCTTTTACAAATAGGGTCGGTAAAATACAGGTTTTGATAACGCTGTTGTGACAATATCATAGATCTTTACGTAAAATACGAATTGAATCAAGATTTTATACTATGTTTGTTATTGTAAAATCATTATATTGGGGAAGAGTAACTTATATCGAGGCCATAGATTGTGGGGGAAAAAGATAATGACACTGTCATGTATATCTATACCTACTAATAACCTTGTGTAATAGATTTTCAGCCTTAATACTTTGTAATAAAGTTGAAACTCCTTTAAAATGGGGCAAAAGTGTATGAACTTTTTTACAATATAATTTGTTCCAGGTCCATCTATTTGACATAGACATTCCCGGCAAAATAAGGTTTAAAGAGTCAGACGTGTTGACTGCCGGCGACAGTATCACGACGTTCGACTGCTACGGTGTGAAGATAGGACTCGGCATCTGTTACGATCTGCGCTTCTTTGAGATGGCACACCTTATGGCTAAAGAAGGTAAGTAATAATAATAAAATAGTCTATACTAGCTTTTACCCGCCGCTTCGCTCGCGTCACAAAAGGATAAAAAGTAGCCTATGTGACATATACCAATACACACAGCGCCATCTATACCAATACTTTTGTTTTCCCTCGGGTATATCAAATTTTTCGGGATAAAAAGTACCCTATTATTTAATCCAGACTTCTATCTTTACCTCTGCAAAATTTCAAAGCAATCGGTTCAGTAGTTACGTCGTGAAAGCGGAACAAACAAACAAACTCACTTTCCGATTTATAATATAAGTAAGGATTAATATGTTATTTGAAGCACAATAGTATGGCAGATAAAATATTCGAAAATCATTTTCTATCTTGCCTTTGTTATCTAAAGGCTTCCTTTAGATTTTACAATAAAGTTCTAAGTCAAAAGTCAAAGATTTTGCTATCTACCACTGCAAAGGCAAACGTTTTTTAACTCTTGACATTTTGTAATATAATCGAAAATCTATTGAAGTAATTAAAATGGCAATAAATAGTAGCATTTTTGAACGATAAATATTTTAACTGGTATTTTCTATCTGACTACCCCGAGAAGAAACACTGAAACAAACTCGGAAGTCACAATCTCGTTTAAAGTCTTGACAAAGTAAAATAAAATAAGCGGGGGAACTACAGAACTTCATTCTGTAGTCATTTCAAAGATTTGAGTGGTTTGAGTACAAAGATCAAAGATTACGAACTGAGTTGAGTGGCCCTGTGGTGACGACAACCACGTATGAATTGAAATGTAGCTAATTAGAATAACATTGGCAGGCTGCTCCATGCTGATATACCCGGGAGCCTTCAACATGGCGACGGGCCCGTGCCACTGGGAGCTGCTGGGCCGCGCGCGCGCCAACGACCTGCAGCTGTGGGTGGCGCTGGTGTCGCCGGCGCGGGACGCCGCCGCAGACTACGTCGCCTGGGGACACTCCATGCTCATCAACCCCTGGGGGGCCGTCGTCGCCGAGCTGGACGAGAAACCTGGACAGCTCTGTGGTACTGTTGGTAAGTTATCTCCTTCTATGTCCTGGCATAATCTATATATATAAAAGAAAGTCGTGTTAGTTACACTATTTATAACTCAAGAATGGCTAAATCGATTTGGATAAAAATTAGTGGGGAGGTAGCTTAGAACCAGGAGACGGACATAGGATACTTTTTACCCAATTCTTTTTTTTTACTTTTTACCGAAAATCAAGAACGGGAACGGGAAATATCGGGATTGCGCGTACGTAGTCGCGGGCAGAAGCTAGTATGTAATATAATTAGTATAATATGGTAGTTGACAGGTAGTCAAATTGAATACTTTTATTGAAATGTCAAAAACGATATTTTTCTATGAATTTTGTATTGGATCGCAACTTATGACGTCATTATATTTTTGCATCAAAAAGCATATTTATATCCCTAAAATTAGCGAGAAAATATCCAAAAGTAGGTAAATTGTCAAATCCATAGAATTTGTTGCATTGAAAAGTCTAAACAATTTATTTTAAACTTAGGAAACTACCCAATTCTTTTAAGAAACCAAGTTTACAAAAAAAAAATTAACCCCCTCTTTTACAGTCGGGTATTTATATACTAAAAACCTTCTCCTAGGTGTAACAAACACAAAACCGCAACAAATCGGTTCAGCCAATCGTTTCTTTTACAATCGGTGTAAAACAATATTTTCGTGTCTGTTTGTATGTACAGTCAAAGGTCAAAAGTCTGCTGCCACCGTGAGTGATGTTCACACGGCAATACCTAAGTAATTTCATATCAATGTGCATAAAAACGCGTGCGTACGCGTAACACACAAATACAAATATGCGCGTGTGTGTGTGTGTGTGTGTGTATAAGCGCTGCAGCGCAACCGATAGTACTCTTACGGTGGCAGTGGTTGACCTTTGACCGGACATATGTTTTGAAGTCTCTTTTTTCTTCTGTCCTTCTGTATGACCGCGATAAACTTGATGTTGATTTTAGTAATTAGGATTGTTGGGGATTTAGGGATTGGGGAGGGGGAGGGGGCGTGTGTGTGTCTTTGGGCCTCCGTTAACCTCACTCACATGACGAAACACAACGCAAGCGTTGTTCCACGTCGGTTTCCTGCTCGGCCGTGGTATCACTCCGGTCGAGCCGGCCCATTCGTACCATGGCTGTTCCGCACTTGACTGAAGGTAACCGATTTCCAATTTTTTCTAATTATAACAATATCTTTCTAGATTTGGACCCTCTAGAGCAAGTAAGGAGTCAGATTCCAATCAGATCGCAGAGGAGAACGGATTTGTACGACACCATCTCTTATGCCAAAAGTTAAGTATGTAAACAAAGTCTTACTTTTGTACCAACACCATACTTGGCCTTATCCTTGCAAAGAAATACATACCCTGTTAACTGTGGAGTAAGGTCTATTTTACATTGATATGTAGTTGTTATGCCAATACGCCAATTGTTGGTAACGAATCTGAATATTGTTTTTGTTCATCTCTTTATTTTACTGAAATCTGTTAAAGAAACAATAGATTCGATTTTATTATGCGTTTTCGTGTCTATTGTTAAAATAGTTATTATTTTATAAGTTATTAGTAAGTGTAAGTGACTGCCTCGTTGGCCGAGTGGTCGCAAGTGGGTTCGATTCCCGGGTCGAGCCAAGTATTACAGGGTTTATAAAATAAATCTCAGTAGTAACACGAAGTCTGGAATTGTGCCCGGTATATGGCAATAGGCTCACCCCGTGTTACATGGGACTCATAACATAAATAGTGAAAAGTGGGTGTTACATTGTACAATGGCATAATGTGCACCTCTGCCTACCCCTTCGGGGATAAAAGGCGTGATGTTATGTATGTATGTTATTATTTTGTGTGGAGGGAAATTTAAGAGATATATATATATGATAGGTATGATAATAATTCGTTTTACGAAGGTTTGTGGCCTAACCAAAGTGCATTGAAAGGCTCCATTAATGATTCCTTCATTGATGTTTCAAATTAAAGTTTTTAGGTAAAATCTCAGAATTATATTGGAGACAAAATAATGAAAAATGCTTAGAGCATTCCTAAAGTACATATTCTCAACAATACAAGATCGTTAATACACATAGGAACAAACAAGTATGACTAGAGAGCCCTCTGACCGACAGACTTTTTGATTGCACGGTTGTTGCGGTGGCTGGACAACCGGCTGTCTTGCAACGTGTCGCGGGTTCGATTCCCGCACTGAACAGCACTTTGTGTGATCCACAAATTGTTGTTCCGGGTCTGGGTGTCATGTGTATGTGAACTTGTATGTTTGTAAACGCACCCACGACACAGGAGAAAATCCTAATGTGGGGCAACGTTTTTTAAAGAAAAAAAAAGGCTGATATTTTTAATATCTTGTTTGACGTTCAAAAGTGCCTTCGGTCTAAACGAAATAAATGATTTTGACTTTTAAATTACAGAACTATCATTTTAACTGATTGATAAGAAGCAAAATCCTTCAACTCAATAACTTCTCAGAAAATACAAAATGGTGTAAGAGCCGAAGAAAGAATGTTTTAAACCAAAAGGGAACAAGGGCTGCAATTAATTAAAATAAAAGATTTAAGTAAGTTTTATTCTTATACAACATGTAACGTAATTAACGCACACCCTCAAACACCCCAATTAGAATATTATGTTATAATCATTTGCCTCGTTGGCCGAGTGGTCGTAATTGCGACTGCCGAGCAAGGGGTCTCGGGTTCGATTCCCGGGTCGGGCAAAGTATTACTGGGTTTTTAAAAATTCTCAGTAGTAGCACGGAGTCTGGAACTGTGCCCGGTATATGGCAATAGGCTCACCCCCTATTATATGGGACTCATAACATAAATAGTGAAAAGTGGGTGTTACATTGTACAGTGGTATAATGTGCACCTCTGCCTACCCTTTCGAGGATAAAAGGCGTGATGTTATGTGTGTGTGTATACACTAAATTTTTAATTTAACATGTATAATATGCATCCTTACTGGTCTTGTCATAAGGTTTATTTTTCTTTATTTTGTATTGAATGATAGAATTTGTATGAATACAAATAAAACTGATTTTATAAGTCTTATTGCTTTGACTTACGGTCTATTTCGATTTTTTTTTACAATACAGGGTTAATATGACAATAATTTCCGTAGTTTTATTTATTTTTGGGATAAAAAATTATCTATACTAAAAATTATATAAATCGATTCAGTTAACGATTCTGAACAAAATATTTTCAGGATGTGCGTTATTTAAGTTACATGTTGTATACATAATTGTTTTATTTAATATATTAAAATGTTACTATTTTATTATACGTTATTTTTATATACTTATTATTATGGTTTTCATTAAAGTTTTGAAAGTATTTGTGTTTGTTCGTTTTTATCCAAATGCGTTTGTAATATTTTGATAACTTCGTCACCACAGCCCCAGAATAGAGTGAAGCCACTTCCACCTGAAAAATTAGTTAATTAAAATAATGATTTCATAATTAATTTAGTATGTCTCACGATCAGTTGTTAGACAAATATGAATTCTAAAAAAAATCCTAACTGCCAAGAAGTACTATCTCCTACCCTTTGTGGCGCACATAGTTCCTTCAACTTGTATAATTATCGTCATTTGGGACAATCATATCTTGTATGTTGTTCCATTCTCGCTTGGCACATTACTCTAACGTATCTAACCGTATCATTACTCCATAAAGTTGAAAATCTAATAACAAAAGTAACTACAATTCTTCAACCAATTTTCAACCGTATCATTCAGTAAAAAAGTTCAAAATCTATTACCATGTCCATAATTATGTATGTAGAGCTTTCCATTCCTCTCCTCAGGCTCCAACCTGATGGAATATCTTACAGGTCTCAGTCCAACCCAGTGCTTCACTACTTCCGCATTCTGGAACGAAAATAATATATTAATTATCTTATCAGAAAATCTGACAGTGTCTTAAGAAACAGTCGATTGTTGTTGTTGGCTATAGTTGATACGACTTTAATTAATAGTAATAGTACTGCAATCGGACTGTTCGTTTCGTTTGCAACCATTTGGTCATGACTGCAATGGTACCTACATACATATACATACCCACGACACAGGAGAAAATCCTTGTGTCGGGCAACGTTTTTTTAAAGAAAAATTAAAAATTATATTTTATAACTTATCATTATCACCCTGATGTCAATTAAAGTGGCCAGCAGAACAACCTACTATCCATTTTTAATTTTAAAATTACATTTTCAACTTTATATCAAAACAATACAATTTAAAATGTAATAAAGTGATAGAAAAGAATAGTTTGTTTTCCTGTTCACTGATACTCTACAAATCTAAATGTATCTCACTTCGAATCCAGGCATCATCTTCTTGCACCCGTTCATGATGAACTCAGTGTCGGCTGCGTATACATCTGTGCAGTAGTCGCTCTGGTGGGTCCCTCCCAGCACACATGTCTCTGAACTGGAAATATTAAAGAAACACTTTATCATTGACTGCCTCGTTGGCCGAGTGGGCGCAAGTGCGACGGCTGGTCAAGAGGTCTCGGGTTCGATTCCCGGGTCGGGCAAAGTATCACTGGGTTTTTAAAAATCTTAGTAGTAGCACGGAGTCTGGAAATGTGCCCGGTATATGGCAATAGGCTCACCCCCTATTACATGGGACTTATAACATAAATAGTGAAAAGTGAGTGTTACATTCTACAGTGGCATTTACTGCCGTAATGTGCATTTCTGCCTACCCCTTCGGGGATAAAAGGCGTGATGTTATGTATGTATGTATATACTTTATCATTATCATTAACAGTAGTCCTTTATCCAAAGTAAAGGTTCAGAACTGCCTAGTGCCTTGGTTGAGTGTTTGTAAGTGAGCCTGCCGCATGTTGCTGATTCGGTTGTGACATCAAGTTAACCCATGGCCAACTATGGTATTCGGTTTTAAAATTGTCAGAAAAAATTTGACTGCACGGTTGGCGCGGTGGCTGGGCAACTGGCTGCCGCGCAACGTGTCGCGGGTTCGATTCCCGCTCGGAACAACTCTTTGTGTTATTTACAGATTATTGTTCCGGGTCTGGGTGTCATGTGTATGTGATATTGTATGTTTGTAAACGCACCCACAATACAGGAGAAAATCCTAGTGTGGGGCAACGTTTCTTTAAAACAAAAAAAGAAATCGCACGGGGTCTGAAAAAAATCCGGATGTATGGTGTAATGCCAATAAGAAACCTGGTAGGTTGTGTTTTGTGTTTATCTATGTTCTACTTCGTTTTTGTCGCATATGTGAACACTGCCACATTTTTTATGGGATAAACCGGTAAACGATCAAACGGATCACCATGGTAAGCAATCGGCGTCGCCCATGGACTCCCGGAACACCAGAGGCGTTACAAGTGCGTTACCGGCTTTTTGGGGATTAGGAATTTGAGGATTGTTGGGGATTCATTCATTGAGATTAGGGAGATCAGGGAGGGGGAGGGGGGATTGGGCTCCAGTAAACTCACTCACACGACGAAACACAACGCAAGCGTTGCTTCACGTCGGTTTTCTATGAGGCCGTGGTATCACTCCGGTCGAGCCGGCCCGTTTGTGCCGAAGCATGGCCCTCCCACACTTAAAAATCCTAGTGAAACTGTCTTTTGAAGTCTATATTTATTTTATTATTCTAGTTCAGTATTTATCGCTTATGACATGATTCAATACGTGGCATACTTATTATTACATTGGCAAACTTACTTGGGTATGATGTAGTTGCCGCCCTCCTCGTCAATAACCACCAGATTCATCCACGGAGCCTTCACCTGCAGGTTACACAAACATTATTATCAGTTACACAATAATTGCGTTTTTGTTTAGTAAACGATTTCTAACTGGTTTCGTACTGGTAAGAACTGGATTATTTATGTTTAAGTGTACACTTTCTTATCGATTAACCAGTTTTTACCGGAAAAGGGCAGGCAGAGGTCTAGTTACTCCGGAATAATAACTGTGATAATCTGTAAATCTATAGTTTGACTGCCGGGTGGAGTCCAGCGACCGTTCCATTCTTACGGCATAACCATTTGCGATATCCACAAATAGTATTTTGTTGGAAAAATATTGGTTAACTAAATAAAGTCGTTGAACAAAGTCAACGTAGACAGATAAATAAAAAATATCTGACCTTAGTAATCTGCCCTCTGACCGGGACCACTTCAGCATCAGGCACAAGCCACCGGGCACCCAAACCGGTGCAGTTAACCACCACATCAAAGGGCTCCAACACAGGATCCTGAAGTGATGTGATCTTCGCTCGCAGTAGCTTGCCATTAGCACGCTCAAACCTTTCCTGAAGGTATGCCAGGAATCTTGGTGCTGGTAATACGAATGTTAGGAATGTGTGGCCGGCTCTGCAATAAATGACAAGCGTTTTTATGGCGCTAGAAGTATGGTTGAAAATCCGGTGATTTATTTATGTTTGATTTCTGACGGATTAGAGATATGAGTTAAGCTAACTTTGGTTAGATTATTTTAGGCAAATTTTTCGTGGATCCTCTTAGCACTTATCTACTAATATGTATCATGGGCTCGGTGTTCGATTTTAACCTTTACTAATAAACTAATATATTCGGATTTAGGTGTGAATGAAGAAGATTTAGTACCCAGTTACCTGCATACCTACTTAGTTCTGTTTCTTTGTTTATATACCTCTAGGAACCTAGCTAACTTTTGTCACAAATGGAAGACTACTCACCCATATTCACCAGAGAACAGCTGACTACAGTCCTTCAACTGTTGCTCGTCGAGTACTTGGTACCCGTACACTATGTCCGACCAGATTGGCTTGCAGAACTTCTCCTTAGTTCTGTACAGACTGTAAACTGGTAAGAGAGACACTCCATGTTCACCTAACCGATATAGTTCATGGAGATATTTGTATGTTTCATTGCCCCATTTTCTGAAAAAGAAAAGTATGATATTTGTATTGTAACTCATTCGCCGCGTCGCGTGTCAGACAATGCTAATTGCTACTCATGGCTATGAGCCCCTTGTGTGGCTTGAAACTAGTCTAGTCAACTTTTTAAACAGTAACTGAGAAATTTTCGAAGACCGGAAAAAATTCAATAGGATTTTAGCTGATTCAAAAATTAAACCCGATACCTTTTTATCGCAACTACACTTGCTACCGCTCAACCAAAGAAGCAGTTAGAGTATATTTCAAATTTTGACTTTCAAAAATGCCTTAGCTAATTAAATGATAACTTCATTTTGGGGAATAGCAGAAATTAAATTTTTTTAGGTACCTTATTAGGTCGTCCGGAGTTTCTCCACATATGAAAGGGTACCAGAGCCCTCCGGATCCGTCTCCAGTAGTGTTCGGAGTGAACTCACTTGAGATCAATACTACCTGTAAACGAAACACGAAATAACAACAAGATGTAAAGTAGATTAAAGTTATCATCTGGATTTTTATATAGCAACGTAGTCTTTATTACTAAAGCCTTAAGGTCTATAATATATGAGCACTAAGTCCAGTATCCTTAAAACTATATGCATCCACATTGGTCCGCAGAGTGTTACGCTGTGGGACTTCGAAGCTTGTTTATTTAGAGAACCCTATAAGTAGATGCTAATGGTGACCTGGAGTAATTTTAGTGAGGTAAGAATCCCACATTCCCGGGTTGTTCTCGACGTTCTCCATAAACAAACATGTTAGATGTACCATTAAAAAACGCATATTTAGTTGTGTGACAAAATTAACTTCATATGAATGACGAAATATTAGATACCTATGTTGACAGTTTGATTTTATTATTTTAATCACTAATGTCAATCTAATCTGCAATCAAGGTTATCTTAAATAGCTGTACCTAACTCGTATAATCTCAAAAGTATTATGTAGGATAGCAGGTAGGTTAGATAGATAGTATTTGTTCGGTTTAACTAACTTTTTTTAAACGTTGCTCCACACTGGGATTTTGCTCAGTCCTGTGTCGTGGGTGCGTTTAGAAACATCAAGTTCACATATACATGACACCCAGACCCGAAACAACAATCTGTGGATCACACAACGAGTTGTTTCGTGCGGGAATCGAACTCTCAACACGTTGCACGGCAGCCAGTTGCCCAGTCACCGCGCTAACCGTGCAAACTACTTAAAAATTAACACAAAATAAGTACTTACATCATAATCTTTATACTTTTCTTTAATTTTCACTGCGCAGGTGAGGCCATTCACCCCGGCTCCAACAACAGCCACCATCACCATTATTCGAACTGGTAACCTAGAGAGAGATCTAGGCCGTGCTTAAAGTACAGTGCACCTTTTTGCAATGCCTCTGTCATTATGAGCATACAGTTTTATCTTATCTAAAGTTCAGGGGTTCATAATAAATAGAGATGTGCTAATTAGTCGGTAAAGCCTTGTATTCGGCTAGTTTTGTAGTTGGCTATTTTTTTTAAATAAAACTTTTTGCGCACTAGGATTTTCTCCTGTATCGTGGGTGCGTTTACAAACATATAAATTCACATACATGTGACTCCCAGATCCGGAACAACAACCTGTGGATCACACAAAGAATTGTTCCGTGCGGGAATCGAACCCGCGACACGTTGCACGGCAGCCAGTTGCCCAACCACGGCGCGAACCGTGCATTCATTTAGTTCCCTGGTTGATATGAGAAATGTTTAATTAGAACCTGGTTATACAAGACTTTCAGGAAAGGATTGTCTAATATAATATATAGTTTCTGGCACATAGGTACTGCACTGACCACTTATTATACTTATTGGCATGTTCGATTGTTTGGCCAATTAACAACAAAGAGATATTTAAAAAAAAAAACATTGCCCCACACTAGGATTATCTCTTGTGTCGTGGATGCGTTTACAAACATACAAGTTCACATACACATGACACCCAGACCTGAAACAACAATTTGTGGATCACACAAAGTGTTGTTCCGTGCGGGAATCGAACCCGCGACACGTTGCACGGCAGCCGGTTGCCCAGCCACCGCACCAACCGTGCAGTCAATATTATCTTCAACATTTTCGATGACAGAAACAGCAATCCCTACCTACCTGTTAAGTGTGGAGTGTGGACATTGCCCCTTTTAAGGGGAGGAATCTTTTGTTAAGCAGGTTTTCGGCTGATGATGATTAAACTGTCAAACACCAAGCGGTCACCGGTGACCGCGACCTATTGTTCTTTAATTGTGTCTATAAATACGGTACTCGACGAGTTAAATAATGATGAATTGGCTAGTCGGCCTAAGTGATAACGGTATATTAGCACATCTCTAATAATAAATAATGTTAGATATATTTGTATACCTATACTTCAATTGTTCAGATAAGCTTAAAATAACCCGGGACTTAACCATAAGATGATAAAACTCTTGAAAAAAGGAAGAAAAGATAACATTTAATTGCATCGCGTGACGGAAAATATTCTGTTAGGGTGTAATATTTAATCTTAATAGAAAAAACAAGTAAAAAATATAACTAGCTTTTACCCGCGGCGTCGCTCGCGTCACTAAAGGATAAAAAGTAGCCTATGTGACATATACCAATACACACAGCGCCATCTATACCAATAATTTCGTTTTCCTTCGAGAATATAAAATTTTTCCGGGTAAAAAAACACTATTATTTAATCCAGACTTCTAACTTCACGTCTGCAAAAATTCAAAGCAATCGGTTTAGTAGTTACGGCGTGAAAGTGGAACAAACAAACAACCAAACAAACTCACTTTCCGATTTATAATATTAGTAAGGATAGACTTAAAATGTGATTTTTACAACCTTCTGATCGTCTTTATGCACTGCGCTATTACAGCTACTACCTAAATTATGTAGTGTTTTTTCTAAATACGAATTTTAGTAATAAAAAATATGTCAATATGATACTGCCGAATATTTATTTCTAGTAACTTAAGATAAATTTTCATCATATGCAAGAAATTGTTTTATATTATTTTATCTCACCAAGTAAATACATAGTTAAGACTAAGTAATATCGAAAAACAGACTTTATTGAACACTACTTAAGAACTATAATAACTATGGGGCTTTAGTTATAGCAATTAAAACACAGTTATATTGTTTTGTTTTGAATTTTATTTATTTCTTTGTTGTTTTTAATGTACAAATGCAATTGTAAGCTTTATTGTTCTTAAATTCGAGTTTAAACTTTTCTGATGAACGATTTTCTATAAACTCTTATTTTCATTAAACAGAAATGAATTGTATTCAATGATGACAGGGGACTCTGATGTCTTTTCAACTGATGATGATGATGTACGTGTATTTTGTTCCTACAGCTGCGGACGCTCAATGTCACGTCGGAATACATCGACATATTTTATTGTACACTGAACGAATTCAGAAGAGCCTGTTACTGTACCTGTACCCATCTTTGACTTTGTTTAAGGAATATGTTTGTTACCATAATTATAAATGTTGTAGTACCAAATTGTAAAATAGACTTGTAATTTAATTTTATTAATATTGGCATACACTATTGCATTAGGTATTAGTTCCTGTTATGATAGTAGTATGTACATAGTTTATAAATTAATAAAACAATTTTAGGTTAAAACCTGACACATTTCTGAGGTTTCACAAGAGTTGCGGACTTAAAATGATTATTATTCTTATTATTTGTTATCCTTAAGCCTCCTTCTCCGCGTGGGTGCAGGTTCCTTGGTATGCACGGTGCGGACGTGTAGAGTACGAGTACACGACTTACTGAACGCTACGCCACATATCTCGCACTTGAATGGATTGTCGCCAGAATGGATCTAGGGGAAGAATAAACATTTTAAGTATATATGCGTTTGTGGGGCTAAAAAGTAAGCTGTTCAATTGATTTTTGACTTTATTGCACAACAGTAAAGTTGAAAATTAGACAGATTCGTGGTCACCATTTGCTAACTGTAGCGAACTTCTATAAACTTATCTCAAATGTTCATAGCCTAATTAGAAGATGTCAGTGAGTGTGAGGATGACATGAGCATGGCATGAGCATGGCATTCTGCTCGAGATCATGGGATATAGGAAAGTCAGCTACATTTTGTAAACATTTTAAAACTGATCTTGTAATAGGGTACTTATTATTTATACCAGCTTAGGGCGGACATGAAAAGTAAAAAGCTATAGGATCATAAATTTGACTGCCTCGTTGGCCGAGTGGTCGCAAATGCGGCTGGCGGGCACGGGGGCTTGGGTGCGATTCCCGAGTCAGGTGGTATTGGGTTTTTAAAAAAAGTCTCAGTAGTAGCACGGAGTCTAGAATTGTACCCGGTATAGAGCAAAAAGCTCACCTCCTATTACATGGGACTCATAACATAAATAGTGAAAAGTGGGTGTTGCATTGTGGAGTAGCATTAGGCGCCGTAATGTGCACCTCTGCCTACCCCTTCGGTGAGAAAAGGCGTTATGTTATGTTATCATAAATTTTAAACATACCTTTAAATGTCTTTCGAGCGCCTCTTTCCTCTTAAAAGCCTTGGAGCATATATTGCAAGGGAAGGGCCGTGTGTCCGAGTGTTTCTGCTGATGCACTCTGAGGTCGAATGCAGTGAAGCAAGCCTTGTCGCACTGAGAACATTTGTACGGACGCTCGCCGAAGTGGGTGCGTTTGTGCATCACTAGGAGGGCGTTGCACTATGGGAAGAATAAATTTATAAGTATTGGTTGTTTCGGTTAATTTAAAGTGTCAAACACCGCGAGGACACCGGTGACCGCAACCTATTGTACCTTTGTACTTTAATTTTATGTATGTGTTGTCCTTTATGTTGTATGTGTGTACATAAATAAATAAATATTGTTCTTTAATTGTGTCTATAATGACGGTACTCAAAGGGTTAAATTAATTTTAAAATTTTGATATTATTGACTATGATCAATATTATTTAATGTGTTTTATTTCTTAAAAATAATCCATATTTTCTTAGGTCCCAGTATAACTTGAATGATCGTACCAAGTTGAAGTGAGTTTAGGAACAAAAACATTACCATAAATGTGTTTGTTTTTTCTTCTACTACTTTAAAACTAAGCGATACAAGGGTTAAAGAATGTAACATATAACAATTATTAATAATAATAAAGTAAGTAGTATAATGCCTCACACATAATGTTACTGTTTTGTCTAAAATCATCATTTTACCATAACCATAAAATAAGTTCTCTTATCTAACGATAGATGGCGCTTATCGCATTTTTAGATTAACACAGATTACTCGAACAGTATTTTATAGATTTCAAGCTTAATAAGAATATTAACTTACCGTGAACATCTTTCCACATATATCACAGACACAATTCTTTTGCAAGGGGTAGTTCTCGTTGGGATGCATCAGTCGGAAGTGCTTCCAGTATGCTCGGGCATTCGGTATCTCTTCGGGACACTGAAGATAAACAATGAATATATTTTGAAAACATACATGAAATCCTTTCTAATCATGTTCATATTAGTACGACTGCTTCGTTGGCCGAGTAGTCGCAAGTGCGACTGCCGGGCAAGGGGTCTCGGGTTCGATTCCCGGGTCAGACAAAGAACTACTGGGTTTTAAAAAAAACTCAGTAGTAGCACGGAGTCTGGAATTGTACCCGGTATATGGTAAAAGGTTCACCCCCTATTACATGGAACTCATAACATAAATAGTGAAAAGTGGGTGTTACATTGTACAGTGGCATTAAGTGCTGTAATGTGCACTTCTGCCTACCCCTTCGTGGATAAAAGGCGTGATGATGATGATGTTATGTTTCATTAGTACTTGAAGGCGTATCAAAGAGTTTAGAAAAAAAGAAAGTAGTAAATAAGGTTCAAACTTACGTGTTCACATTGCGCCGGCCATTTTGTCTTGGCCCCCTTCAGCCGGTAATGTACAGGCTGCCTCTTGGGATGTTCTTTACGATGGTGGACCCTCAACTCCTCAGGGTCAGAGAACATGGCTCCACATACACGACATCCGTTACTGTGGGAAAGGAATATTAGTCTTATAGTTTAACTAGCTGTTGCCCGTGACTTCATCCGCATAGAATATTGACTTCTGGCAGAATTCATCAGAATCGATTCAATGCCTAAGTGAGATTTATTGTGAAATAAATCTTGGGGTTTGAGTGATAAAAACTTTTCTATAGACTATTGTTGTACTGAATCTTTCTAAAGTAAGTTCAGTGGTTAGTCAAGAGATAGAGAGTCTCGGGGCTTTAACGCATAGTTCCCGTTCCCTTCTGTGATAAAAACTATCATACATCGTTTCCCATGTCTCATCTCAAATGATCGTTTTATCGAATTTAACCCAAAAAAAAGATTCAATGATTCTAGATTCAATGGCTAAGAAGATTTATACAAACTCTCATCATCTATTTTATCCCCATAGGGATAGAATTTATCCTTTCTTTAGATATACCTATGTCACAGTAGCTTTATGGATGCAAAATTCTCAGCCTAGTCGGTTTAAAACTGACAAAGTTTCATACAAACTTTCATCCCCTATTTTACCCCCTTGGGAAGGGAAGTTATCAAATTCCTTTCTTAGCGGATGCCTACGTCATAGCATCTACCCGCATGCCAAATTTCAGCCCGATTCGTCTAGTGGTTTGACCTGTGCGTTGATAGATCACTATAGTACGACCAAAATTTTTGTCTCATAACAATACGGCCAAAACCGCCTCAAATCAATAGATACGATTATCCTGAATCCTGTGCTCTGCGTGTGTTTGACCGACATGACCATGTGCCGCTTGTAACAAACTTCACGTCGCACTCCGCGCAGTAATGTCAAGCTAAAGTAATCCTTATATCCACTTACATAGAGTCCGTGCTCTGCGTGTGTTTGACGGACATGACCATGTGCCGCTTGTAACAAACTTCACGTCGCACTCCGCGCAGTAATGTCAAGCTAAAGTAATCCTTATATCCACTTACATAGGGTCCGTGCTCTGCGTGTGTTTGACCGACATGACCATGTGCCGCTTGTAACAAACTTCACGTCGCACTCCGCGCAGTAATGTCAAGCTAAAGTAATCCTTATATCCACTTACATAGAGTCCGTGCTCTGCGTGTGTTTGACCGACATGACCATGTGCCGCTTGTAACAAACTTCACGTCGCACTCCGCGCAGTAATGTCAAGCTAAAGTAATCCTTATATCCACTTACATAGAGTCCGTGCTCTGCGTGTGTTTGACCGACATGACCATGTGCCGCTTGTAACAAACTTCACGTCGCACTCCGCGCAGTAATGTCAAGCTAAAGTAATCCTTATATCCACTTACATAGGGTCCGTGCTCTGCGTGTGTTTGACCGACATGACCATGTGCCGCTTGTAACAAACTTCACGTCGCACTCCGCGCAGTAATGTCAAGCTAAAGTAATCCTTATATCCACTTACATAGAGTCCGTGCTCTGCGTGTGTTTGACCGACATGACCATGTGCCGCTTGTAACAAACTTCACGTCGCACTCCGCGCAGTAATGTCAAGCTAAAGTAATCCTTATATCCACTTACATAGAGTCCGTGCTCTGCGTGTGTTTGACCGACATGACCATGTGCCGCTTGTAACAAACTTCACGTCGCACTCCGCGCAGTAATGTCAAGCTAAAGTAATCCTTATATCCACTTACATAGAGTCCGTGCTCTGCGTGTGTTTGACCGACATGACCATGTGCCGTTTGTACGCTACGCTCGACACAAACTTCACGTCGCACTCCGCGCAGTATGGACCGTCTTCTGTATTCTCTTCTGGTTTTATCTAGACAAATAATTTAAGAATTAATTACCCCACACTATCTTGGTATCAGATCTTAGTACCAATACTACAACACTCACCTCATAGTCTTTATGTACCATATTCTTATGTACGACAAGTCCTCGTTTACTATAGAAGGAGTATCCGCAGTAACAACATATGTTCTCCGAAGGATGCTTTATACGCATGTGGCTAACATATGTCGTTCGTACTCTGTAAAAATAAATAATAATAAAAATTAACAGAGATTCATATAGGTAAAGTAATCGTATTATTTTACGTACGTATTATTATTATTAATTAATGTAATACTTTTCACTAAGTAGTTATGTTATTATTCGCCTTATCTTGTAGGGGAAATAAATCAATTTTAACTACACTAAACTATTAAATTTGATAAACTCTTAATGGAGATAGAAACTGGTTTGAGAAGCCATAAAATGAAATATTGTAAACCATTTTTGGACAAGTATAGCAAGCTCTGTGGAACAACTTTTCCGCCTGGCCAATGACAAGGACCAATTCAAAAAGTTGACGGCCAACCTTTAGGAGTGAAGTGGCACTATAAGAAGAAGAAGATAGCAATGTACAAAAACGTCTAAAATATACAATGTGAATGACTTACGTGAAAACCTCGTCACAATATTTGCATTTGTATGTAATTCCTTTGTGTGATCCTTGATGCTGTTTCACTGTCGTTCTGAAATCAAAACCATCAGTTAACTTTTTTTTATCTTTTTGTAAATTCGACAGTTTAATAACTTCTACATTAGCGCCATCTGGTGAGGACAAAAACGATAATTCTTATTTTAGAGTTAGAATTATATTTAACTGTTTCAATACAAGTTATATATAAAGCAAACCGTTACACTCCTTTTTTTAAGGGGAGATAATCATCGAATGACTGCTCCCGCCTGGGTGAGGCGGGAGGGAGTATCAGACTCTTACTGACTAAAAACCACCCCGTTCCTTCTCCTGCACGTCGAGCCGGAGCCCCGGTAACCCGTTAGGTTCTCCTTACCCTAAGGAACTATTTTAACAATCTCTATTCACAAATAATTGGCCCTGGTCTTCATTACTCTTGATGCTGTATTTGTAAACGCACTCACGCCTCAGGAGACAAATCTCATATAGGAAAACAAATAAAACCTTACAATTTTGACTTTTCATAGGGGCTAAAAATTATATTGTACTCACATATTACTAGAGTTATACGGACATAGCTTGCAGACGAACTTCTTGCCGTGGTTGAGAGCGTGCCTCTGCAAGTTGCGCTTTGTTTTGAACCTGTACTTGCATATTGGGCATTCTAAGTCACCTGCGTTCTGGAAGGAAATAATTGGACATAAAGGGTACAACTGTAAGGAATTTATTGCATTTCCGAAGTTTTAACAATTGCATCCGTCGAGCAAAGAGCCTTGGGTCAGTATCACCGAGCACACAGATCACCTGATGGTAAGTAATCGGTGCCGCCCATGGACACCCGAAACACCAAAGCGTTACAAGTGCGTTACCGGCCTTTTGGGAATTGGCAATTTGAGGATTGTGGAGGATTCGGGGATTCGGGAGAATAGGGAGGGGGGTAATTGGGCCTCCAGTAAACTCACTCACACGACGAAACACTAGGCAAGCGTTGTTTCACGTCGGTTTTCTGTGAGGCCGTGCATCACGAAGCATGGCTCTCCCACACTTTACTACACATAAATGCACTTTACAAAATACGACTTACCGGCGAATGTTTAGTGAGATGATGTTTCCAGGCGTGTGTGTTGTTGAACCCCTTGTAACAGAGATGGCACTGGTACGTGCAGTTCAGGTAGTTGGACGACTGCTTGCGTTTGTTCATCTCTTCTAGCTGCTCCTCTAACTGAGGGGAGAAATAGCAGGATTAGTTATTTTTTATAGCATAAGCCGGTAAACGAGCTGACGGATCATGGCTCTCCTAAACTTAAATGTGGTTGAAAAATTATCTTACAGCAGTCTGTAAGATAATTTTTCAAGTTAAACTTATGAGATCGAGAAATCCAGGCCGTTGGTCAGTCAAGTTACTAATTACTTTAAAAAAATAAGATTATTGCGCCATTGAGTCATTAGGACTTAATGACTCACTAGCGCTAGCGCCAACTAATGCGTATTAAAATTTAAAATATCGAGAAAGAAAAAAGAGTTTCTTGCCTGTTCTTCTCCACTCGAATCTACTTTTTGAAACGAGCGAATAGCTTCACTTACGGCCAAACTGACAGACTATTATTTATTTTATATTTTTGACGTTTCAAAAGTACCAAATTGTGGTATCACATATTGCTGATTTCTAATACTGAATACCTGAAACTTACTGTTAATATGATAATAGTAATATCATCCATATCAGTATTGTCTTCACTTTCCACATCCTTCATCTTATTTATTATTTTCTTTGATTTTGTAGACACCCTTTTTGATCTCCCATCTTTTTTCGACGGACCCAGCCGAGTTTTTCTTACAGGTAGTTTTGGCACTTCTACTATTGTTTCTGGAAGCTATAAAAAGGTATTTGTTAAGTATGTGCACCAGCTGTAAACTAAATAATAAGAATGTGAAATGAAAATACATTTTGTGTTGATGTACAATCAACACAAATTGTAATTCTCAATAATTAAGTGGTTGCAATTATAAATACTGAGCTTGAGGCTTTTTTAAACTGGCAAATAACTAAAACGGAAGCAAACACAGACCTAAAACAAAAAAGGTCAAATCTAAATCTACCTCGGGTTCATCCAGCTCATCATCTATTTTCACCTGAATTTCATCCTTCTCAAAATCCTGCTGTTTTTCACTTTTCTTGCTTTCATCATCACTGGAGCCATTATATGGGCTACAAGGATCAGGAACATCTAAATCAACATCGTCATAATACTCCTTTTTAATGACCTCTGTGGCAAAGACTGGTTGCTCTATGTCTAAGCAGTCTGTGGTGTCCTGTTCTATGCTTATCTGTGTCACATTTGAAATAGCAAGGAGGTTCTGCTTGTCTATTGATTTTATTTCAGTTGCTATTACCTGGAATAGAGATTAAAAAATAATATAATTGATTGACATGTTTTAGAATGATTTAATTCACAATAAATAAATGGAAAATAATAATTAGTTTATTATTATCATTGCAAATAAGAACCTAACATAGTAATTATAGGTTTCAAAGTCAAAACCTTAGATAGTTAGCAGTTGTTTAAGCATTTTGTTCTTACATAAACTATAGCTGTTCTTATGCAGTAAATAGATCACAATAGTGTTTTATTCTGTAATTTTCTTTAGTTATACTAAGAAAAGAAAAGTAATACCTTCCCACAATCATCAATTATTCCACATAATAAGACTTGACTTTGTAAACATTTTTGTCTGAAGAAATGGAACTTTTTCACAAGAGCAGCACACTGATAGCAAGCATAGGGTGGCAAGGTGGGATAGAGTGGCTGAAATAAAAAAATAACAAATTATTATAATTTGTTTTTTAAATAAAATTATTTAAGCCAATTCTTCACCTATACTGACTGATTAGTTGGCCGAGTGGTCGCAAGTGCGAGTGCCGGACAAGGGGTCTCAAGTTCGATTCCCGGGTTGGGCAAAGTATTACTGGATTTTTTAAAATCTCAGTAGTAGCATGGAGTCTGGAAATGTGCCCGGTATATGGCAATAGGCTCACCCCCTATTACATGGGACTCATAACATAAATAGTGAAAAGTGGGTGTTACATTGTACAGTGGCATTAAGTGCCGAAATGTGCACCTCTGCCTACCCCTTTGGAGATAAAAAGGTATGATGTTATGTTATGTCTTCACCTACATAAAGCTTCACTGACAGACTATTATTTATTTTATTTTTGTTGATGTTTCAAAAGTAGGTACCAATAAAGTTGATGTTTCAATAAAGTTGGACAATAATTTAGACAAACAATAATAAAGTGCACTTTTTGAATACAATGTTTTTAATTTCTGGACAATTTACAGTTCAATTGAACAACACAATATTTTATTTAATACTTGATCATTATATTCACGTCTTATAATTATATTTTTTAGATATTTTCTGCGGGCAATAATGAAAAAGTAATTAAAACATACCCACCTTACTATCAATCATCATTGATGCAAAATATGTTTCCAAAGGGTAGGATAATAAATCCTGCATGTCTACGTCCATATTTAAGCAAATGCGACACACTCTGACGTCTTCCATATTAAATTATATCAGTTTTTATTACATAAATACCAAAAATATCAAAAAAAACTACTTTATAAATACACTGAACTAAAAACGCTAAAAAAATAGTTTTACACTACGATAATTAATTAACAGTCTATTTATTTATGCTAAAGTATAATAAATTAACACTTTTATAATATTTTCCATTCATAAATATGAAAAACATAGATTTTTGCCTGTTTACATTTTCACAAGAATAACAATGGCAGGCAAGTGAAATGTCAAAGTTAAGATGTCACTGTCAAATACGTTTTGTTAGTTAAGCAACAGATAACGTTAATCGGTCACCATTTTGGAGACTCGGTTGCCAAAGAAGAAGAAGAAAAAAAAAAACGTTAATCGACGTTTATATATTTTATGATAGTTGCAGAGGCAGACACCTCCTCCCTCAGTCAGGCTAGCTAGTGGCTGCAAGCAAACCTTCAGGCCGAAGGTTCAGAATCAGCTTTGGTATATTAGGTAGTCATACTTGGTATAAGAAAATATTCGAGGGTGAGAATACTATCAGATAAAGGTGGAATCATGACACCCAGTTTCACCCTACTTTTGGTAACTAGTAGACCCTGGATTAAAAGTCAACTGATAAAGATAGTATGCTCTGAATACGCGATATAATAATATGAATGTCGTAGAGAATTAATTCACTTGGGTTTTTTTATGGAATAGGAGGAAAACGAGCAGACGGATTACCTGATGGTCAACAATCAGCGCTGCCCATGGACACCCGCAACACCAGAGGAGTCACAGGCGCGTTGCCTTGCCGACCTTTCAAAAAGGAATATGCTCTTTTTTTGAAGGTTTCAAGGTCGTATCGGTGAACAGAACACTAAACAGTGAAATATTTATAAAATAACTGGAAAATTACGTTAGTTATAAGTATTCAATAATTTTCTTTGATAAATATACCTATACCTATTTATAAAAAGTAGAAGTAAAGTGTTTCTACAGATTTTTTTAATCTGATTGTTTTTTTCGCTTCGTTATAAACGAACAAAGGAAGAAACATGAGTCATTCATAACAAATTCTGAGAACATGAAATATAGTTTCTGAAAAGTCGTCAGAGTCTTGTGTCTAGTTAATATGGACTGAGACGAAAATCAATAACGTCCATTATGACTTGAGCTATGCAATAAAAACCAACGATCTATGCAGGCTTGCTTATTTGTGTAGGTGCGTAGATATAGATTGATGCAAACCGGATCTGGGCAGAACGAGTTCTGAGAAATTATTATTTTTATTAGTTCTCTAAATCTCTATTCAAGATCGAAAAGGGAAGCAAAAAGTATAATATAGGCAGGTACTTTTGCAGGTAGAGATATAGAGAACCTCGTTGGTAAAATGGTTCCATGGCGGGACAGTAGGTTTCATTGACTAAGGTAATTATTATAATGACCAAGTAGGTAGGGGTTCGATGGCGCGACAGAGGGCGTCCTGTGTTCTCCAGCTAGGTGGAGTGACATCTGACAAGAGATGGTCCGAGCTGTTCAGCTGAAGTTTGATCTTGGTTTAAATTGGACAGTTGAGGGTTATTAGAAAAACCTATGTCCAACAAAGGACTAATGCTGACCGATGATCAAGTATTTTAATGAATTAATTCTCAATTCTATTCTAGGTCATAGTTCGAAATTGTGGCAGGTCACAGGTGTTACTCTCTCTCTCTCACAGGCTATAGAGTACCTATAGTGATTAATCTCATAACCGCAAATAGGTGGATTGGTAGGTCTCCACTTACCACAACGGGAAATAACGCACGTGACATTGATGTTAATAATCTAAGCTAAGGTTATTGTGCAGTTTTTAATCACATTACCTATAGTTTTACCTAACATATTATATAAAAAAACATCACGGTTTTCCCCGTAGACTTGTAGGGAACCACAGAATTGCACATTACCTAGATATTATGTAGGTATGTACCTACCTAAACCTATGTGTATTATGTATCTAATACTAAATTGATAGCACCAATCAGTCACGTAAATTATTTTGGACCGATTCATCCCATGATATTTTCGTCTCTATGACAAATATTGTAAAGTTTCAAATATATCTAAAATGAATTTGAAAGGCTGTGGTAGATTGATATGCTACCGTGTTTAGAGGACGGGGTAGTAGAAGTTGAACTGTGCGCATCGATCTGCGCGCGGCGCAGTAGCCATTATACTTGAGCCCATAGAGATTGATGATATAGTTAAGTATAGGTACCCAAGTATAAACACACACCTAATACCTTCTTTGGGTTTAATCATGAAAGTTCTGGGTACCTATTGCGTATATGTTCAATCGGTTATAATTGAGTTATTATTACTACCTGTAACCTACTCATTCTTTAGGTAGTGTTCCAATTTCAAGAGGAAGTATTAACATTTTTGTTTTACTATTTACCTATAATATCTACGAATACCTAAAGAATGTCATGAATCATGAATGACAAAATATTTGTGACTTAGGTTATTAGGTGCGTACACATAGGTACCTAACTACTTAAAGTATTTAATAGGTAGGAAAATAAAAGAAAAAGTTAAAAATGTGTGCGTAAACGTTCAGTCGTATCCGATGAAAAATGTTTTAAATTACTTTTTAATTTAGTCCTCGCATTTGCTGTTAAAGCAATAATGCTGAATACTAAGAAAACTTGGCTAGAGTCACGTAATAAGTAAGTATGACCTTTAGCTGCAGCAAGCCACTGTGGAATGAGGATGAACATCCTCTAATTTAATTTCGGTGATTTGACTGCGATTCCGAAGTTGCCTGCCAGCTGCCACCTTTTCGGTTGACGATGACATTATTAATGAAAACTGCAAATATCGGCAGCTCTATAATATTAAACTGTCAAACACCAAGCGGTCACCGGTGACCGCAACCTATTGTTCTTTAATTGTGTCTATAAATACGGTACTCGACGAGTTAATAGAACCTCACAATGCAGCTCGATGGATCGCACACAAGGCTACCCAACAAGGCCTTGTGATAGCGTAGCAAAAATATGCTACACACGCCATCTAGACGAAAAAATAAAAGCTGTTAAAAACTAAACCGGAAAACCAATCTTCATTATCTTTTTACTTATTTCAAGATACCATGAAATATATGAAACAAAATACCCAAAAGATAAGATAATAATAGTCTAATACTCTTTTTTGTGTTTACGTTTGAATGAATGGGCATGACATGACATGAAGTTGTGAAATATTGGAGTAATCTTTATAAACTCTAACTATTAAACAAATATATAAAGTTAGGTACTGAGTTAGTCATCGTGATTGTTGATTTAGGTTCCTGACAAGATAATAAGTAATAATACTACTTAGCACCAATATACAAGTGTGAAATTGCACAATCAAAATCAACATCTTAATTATTATTGTTACTTAATTACTTCTTTAATTGGCTTTGGTTGTGTAACTTGGAAACCCATTTTAGGAAGAGTTACCAGGGCTCCCGGTCAAAGCAAGAGTAGAAACGAGGTGATTTTTGGTCAGTAAGAATCTGACACTCCCTTTGGCCTCACCCAGTGCGGAAGGAGCTATTTGATAATTTTTTTATGGCATAAGCCGGTAAACGACCAGACGAATCACCTGATGGTAAGCAATCAGCGTCGCCAATGGACACCTGGAACACCAGAGGCGTTACAAGTGCGTTACCGGCCTTTTGGGGATTAGGAGTTTGAGAATGGTTGGGGATTCAGGGATCGGGGAGATTGGGGAAGGGGAGGGTAATTGGGCCTCCGGTAACCTCACTTACACGACGAAACACAACGTTGCTTCACGTCGGTTTTCTGTGAGGCCGTGGTATCACTCCGGTCGAGCCGGCCTATTCGTGCCGAAGCATGGCTATCCCACACTTAAATTTATAATTTATTTATTGATAATTTTCTTCCCCCAAAAAAGAAAAGGTTGGACTTGCCAAGTTATAATTACTGGGATGAAAGTCCAACGACATGGTTTAATGGAAATAAAATTTACGAGTCCCTACACAATTCCACACTTTTTAATACCTCATTCTCTACTCGTAAATTCACTACCTTCCACTACCTTCCACTACCTGCAAGTACATTTCCGCCTACCTCTTCGAAGAATAACAAGAGTCATATCATAACAGTTAATCGTATGTCGTAACATTTCATTCTCCCGAAGAAGTCATCAGAGGAGCTCATTGCGAAAATATGACACCCAGTTATAAGTTCCACGTAACGTATTAAGTATAGGGTATACTCAAAAATGACCCAGGAATCAAAACATTCAAAACCCTCCGTCTTAGATTGCCTCGATGGGCGAGTGGTTGCAAGTGCCACAGCCGGGCATGGGGTTTCGGGTTGGAATCCAGGGTCAGGCAAAGTATTACTGGGTTTTAAAAAAACTCGGTAGTAGCACGGAGTCTGGAATTGTGCCCGACATATGACAATAGGCTCACTTATTACATGGGACTCATAACATAAATAGTGAAAAATGGGTGTTACATTTGTACAGTGGCATTAAAGTGCCGTAATGTGCACCTTTGCGTACCCCTTCGAGAATAAAAAGGCGTGATGTTATGATATCAAAGCCCCTTCTTTGCCATTATCTCGCGTGATGGTTAGCAATGAGTTTGCAACGATGAGATCTTTAAAGCTTTTCGCTTGGAAGATGCTCAACATGATGCACTGGTTATCAAAATCATCAACAGCACGTTACATCCCAATACCATCCTAGTTTTATGGAAAAGATCTTCTTTTCAATAAAGGGTTTGCCGGTTACCGGGGCTCCGGCTCAAAGTGCAAGAGTAGGAACGGGGTGGTTTTTAGTCAGTAAGAATCTGACACTCCCTCCCGCCTCACCCAGGCGGGAGCAGACATTCGATGATTTTCCCCCCTTAAAAAAATACAACATGTAGGTAAATGTTATGTCAGTTAAGGTAACTGTTTATTATAATTATATCCACTGGGGTTTTCCATATGAACGAAAACAATTGGTAGGTAGGTATAGGTAGTCAG